TGCTCCGCACCGAGGGTGCTCTCACTGGCCTCCAAAGCTCTCCTGTAGAGCGGCTCTGCATCTTTCAGCAGGCCCATGGCTTTGAGGCAAACTGCCAGACCGTTGATTGAGGCCAAGGTGTCAGGATGCTCCGCACCGAGGGTGCTCTCACTGGCCTCCAAAGCTCTCCTGTAGAGCGGCTCTGCATCTTTCAGCAGGCCCATGGCTTCGAGGCAACCTGCCAGACCGTTCACTGAGACCAATGTGTCAGGATGCTCTTCACCGAGGGTGCGCTCACGGGCCTCCAAAGCTCTCCTGTAGAGCGGCTCTGCATCTTTCCGCAGGCCCATGGCTCTGAGGCAACCTGCCAGATCGTCGACTGAAACCAATGTGTGAGGATGCTCGGCACCGAGAGTGCGCTCACGGGCTTCCAAAGCTCTCCTGAAGAGCGGCTCTGCATCTTTCGGCAGGCCCATGGCATGGAGGCAAGCTGCCAAATTGTTGACTGAGAGCAATGTGTTAGGATGTTCGGCACCGAGGGTGCGCTCACGGTCCTCCAGAACTTTGCTCAGCAAAATCTTGCTATCCGGGAAGTAGCCTCGCATCATTAGAGCTGTTCCCAAACGCGCTTTCGCAGCAATCTTGAGGCCAGGAGTCTGAGCAGCCGCTTCGCGTGCGCGGAGAGCATCTAGCAGGCGAGATCGAGCATTGGCAACGCCGTCCTCGCCAGCCACCCGGAGAACCACACAACAGCGCTCTGGCTGCCCGGGCTCATTCAACAGCTTGTCACCCAGATTTGTGCCGGGTGGCTTTCCCGCTGCCTCCATCTCAGGTGTTGGTCTCACTGAAATGTCGTAGGCATTCTCTGGGTCGATGAGCAAAGGAATGCAGAACGATGCACGTGGTGGATACACTCTTCTCACATAGTCTTCACCATGAAGTTCCACATCTCTCTTAATCATATTCCTGAAATTGTTATCTAAGAGTTCCATTCGGTCTGACCATTGGTCTGGAGGTTTAGGGACGGTGTACACACCACGCCCCCACCAGGCGTTTGCACTTTTTCCCTCTGTTCTCAGTGAGGCCCATACCTCCGCAGCTTCTTTCTCAAGGGCCGTGATGTTTCTGAAAGGTAGCTCCTCTGTGTAGTGGAAGAAAGCCTTGGCACCTGGGCCTGATGACAAATCAATGGCATCTTTCCAGACAACGATGCCAGTTCGAAGATGCTTCCAAGAATGTTCGAAATCCTTGCTGTCCTGGTACTCTTCACTTTGGAACTCCCCACCCTCCCGGTAGAAGCTTTCGAAGTAGCGTCGCAAGTCGTCCACAGTGGAAGTTGCCCGCATGGCTTGGACAAAGGCAACGAGAAACAAATAATGAGCTACGGAAGCAAATGTGCAATCTGCAGTTTTCCTATGGAGCTTAGAGATCTCCATGCAATCATATGGGGCGTGGCACCATATGGTTAAACTATGTTAATATGTAGTCATACTTTGCTATACCGAGCTACCAGCGAGCTACGATTGGTACCTTGAATGCATTGGTACCTTGAATGCATTGGTACCTTGAATTAGCTACCTCAAAACAATTCTACCCTAAAGCCAGCTCCAAGCAGTGGGTTGCTATGCGTTGCTATGCTGCTGCTGACAGATGCTCCTTGAAATGCCTGCCTTCGAGCCAAATGCATATCCAAGCTCTGCTAGGCCTGTGGCCCGGCCAATCCTTCAACATGGATCCAGCTACCACCTCAAGACTATGATGCAACGGTACCTTGGGAACAGAAAAAAACAGCCATGATGCATCTGTTGGAAGCAGTAGCTGAACTTCTGCCTTGAGAAACCTCAAAGCTCATGAGTGTCGTGCAAGCAAATTGACCATATCAAATATCAACCAAACAGTGCCCCATGCTGCCCGGTCTTGGTGCCAAGGAACGATTCAGTCGTGCGCTTCCGGGGAAGAATGCTGTAGCTCTGGAGACCTGGAATTGATCAGAATTCTGGAATCTATGCCAGGTGGAGACCTCCCAAAACTTCATAGTGAAACGCTCCAAGAAGATGGTCCACAAGGTAATTTTCCCCTTAGATCTACAATTGGCATGGTTTTCGTCATGCTGGAATCCATCTTTGACTTTCATGAGCGGTGGGCACTGCACAGCTTGGAGGTTCCAATGTGGGGGAAGACTTCAAATAAACAACAGGTTAGGGAGCTTTTCTGGTATCATTGCAAGCCCCTTGAATTTGTCAGAAGTGAAGCCAACTTGACTACCACCCCTCTGGAACCCCTGTGGAGGGCTTGAATCTGCAGGAGTTACTGACAGGATACTGTTGGGACTTGAAGATGTCCTGTAGCGGTTGCAGTTACATGAAATGACCTGGCCTTGTAATATTTCACCCGCCTCAACTGTCAATCCCCTAACAAACATTTAAGGTCAAGTCATGTCAGGTCAGCATTCATTCATATCCACTAGGGCATGGGTGAGGCAGTAGCTCATACGATTCCTGATGCCGCCTCCTTTATTACAGTATACATTAGGACTCTCCATGTCCTCTTTGTTTAAGGCTATGGTCAGGAGGGGTACCCCCAGCTGGAACTATTTCTTGGGTGACTGGAACTATTTAAAATATGACTAGAACTACGTATATTTGAAAATGATAAAGTTGAATTTTGAGATATTATCCTTTTTTCAAAGATTCTACCACTTAGGGTTAAATGAATGTGGTGTACAGAATCGTCCATCGTTCAACATGGTTTCAGCCAGGTACAGTACCTGGCCGATGGCCTCTAAAGTCGAAACGATGAAAGATGAAAAATGTTTCGAAGCAACCTGATGCTACACCGATTGCCTCAAAGAAAAAACATCTTCTAATTTTTGGTTGAAATAGTTTTTCTTCGAAAAAGACACCCCGGACCAGGGTACCATTCCGAGCTCTGCGTTGTAAAATGATGGTTTGAAATGCCTCAAGATGCCTCGAGCATAGTCTTCCACATGAGCCCCGCTAGGCACATCTCGGTATCTCACCGTTTCCACCGAGTTCCTGCCAGGTTCACAACGGACTCGACAGCTGGGATCAGTGCGTGGCGCCACGAAAAAACCATTTGCATCTCAATGTCCTCAATCAATATCATTCAATACCATTTTTGTACGGCTGGTATTTGTACGGCTAGGATCGTTAGGTTTTTGTACGGCTGGTACTTGTTGACATTTGCTGAATCTAGTGCAGCACGATGCCTGAAAGCCAAATAAGAGACTCAACTGCTGAGGGCAAAGGTAGGAGCCACTGCATTGACTTTATCGCCACTCGCGTCTGAAAGGTCAAGACTTGCACTGGGGCTTTCAAAGAAAACCAATACAAGCGGTCCACACGACACGTATGTGCAACGCGTTGGCAGCAACTTTTTTGATAATGTAACAATGTAAAACTAAATGTAATGAATTATAAAGGACTCAGGTTCATCTCTTCGGATTCAAACTTTGTACCCTTCAAAATCGATTCCGGAAAATCCCGGAAAGGTTAAGACTCCCTGCCTCCAATTCCTTCTGTGCTGCTCCCTCTGCAGAAGGCCCATGAGCCATCTCCTAGCTGCTGCATGGAACTTCGATCTTCCTCCCACAAACTACTGCGACATCTTGAAAGGGTAGCGTTGCTTGCGTTTCGAGAGCCTCAAGGTTCACTTGGTATTTTGTACAGTAAAACATCCAAGTTGGAGCTCCAAGTTAGAGCACTTCATCCAATTCATATCCCATTCATATCCAATTCATATCCCAATCATATCCGATTCATATCCAATTCACATCCCAGTCATATCCAATTCATATCCTATTTACAGTATACCCAATTCATATTCCATATCCAATTCAAATCCCTATTTTTTTCCAATTCATCTCCAGTGCATGTCCAAGTCATATCCCATTCATATCTACTTGGGGATGGTGCAGTCCAGACTCCAGAAGAGCATTGCCCGCACTTGGGGATGTATTGCCAAGCTGATACAAAGGGCTCCATCCACACCAGTTGGCACAACCTCCTGCTGTCCCAGAGGTGGCACCAGTGGCTGAACCAGTGCAATCGCCCACGTATTGCAAAGAGCCCAGAGGGACCCACTTGCACCAGTCAGGTCGGTACCTACTGGCACCAGCTGGCACATGAGTACCCATAGCTAGCAGGATTTACATAGCCACTGCAGTCTGGCACATACTGCTGGGAGGCCAGGGAAACCCATTGGCACCAATCAGGCTGTGAAAGGCACAGTGTCAACAACAGAAGAGACAGGAACTTGATCATGTCAGCGTTCTCTGCGAAAATGCCAACCTCTCAAATGCTATGAGCCCAAAGACTGCAGGTGCACTACACAATGGTTTGTCTGATGAGTTTGGTGAACTGTGTTTTGCCTATATGTTCAAAAAAACACAGCCTCTCCACCTACGATTGCATCGAGAATGACAAGCCGCATCTGATCTGTTTTCCTCAAATTGAAAAGTGAATTCCAAAACCAACTGTGGGCATTGTGTATCAATCTGCTTGGAAATTGGCTGTGACTCTGCCTAGAATCATAATCATGATCATCATCGTGAGCGTCGTCCTGGTCATAATCATCAATATCATCAATGTCATCATTGATAGTAGTCACCATTGATAGTAATCATCCTCGATAATAATCATGAGTAACGATAATCATCATTACTAACAATGATAATGGCAATAAGAACTGTCAATAACATTAATGTTATCATTACAATTATTGCTAACATGATTGTCAATAGTTGCTGCAATAGATAATAACATGTAATAAACATATGACCAACAACAACCGCAGCAACAGAAGAACCATCTCATCCATCTCATCCCTCGGGCGAACTTGGCAACTGCGATCAGTTTTTTTGGTCATCTTAGCATCGTCCACGACAACTTTCTCGGCATCTCTTTGTGCCAAATCTCACCTTGAAAACCAAACTTCTCATTTGTAGAATTTGTAGACCTCGAAGTGAACCATCATCTACTCCAGTTAGACATAGCTAGACTCTAGAAGACCACACTTTCTGCATCCGTCTCTCCAGAGCTGCTATAGCGGCTATATGCCTCCTGACACCACTGCCAGATCCGTTGCTTCTCAATGGCACGCGCTTGCGCAGCACAGGGCGGATCGTGGGGATCTGAGAACATCAAGTCCAGGTGATGGGCACCCAGATCCAGCACCAAGGATATTTGGGAACCGTCCTGGATAGACACAAAGGGACAAGATGGGAGATTGGTAGAGGATGTATGATATATGTATGCATAAATATATATATATATATACGCATATGTATATCCATATGTATATTATGGATATATATATATATAATTATATATATATGTATATATGTACATATATAACCAAGATCACAGCATTTGGTAAACCCCCAACACTTCAATTCCATTCAAAATTCCACAACAGAGTTGGGAACATTGTTCACAAAATGAATCGGGGCCATCTCCTCGTTGATCTCCTGCACCATGGGACCTTCAGAGCCCTTGGAATTCTTGGGATAAACTCCCATGCCAGACCAGGGGTCTAGGGCTCCATTGCTCCACACCTCAGCTGTGGCGATGGGATAGGGATATCCAATGGATTATTGTGGGAAAGGAGCTCATAGAAATATGTTCGAAGCTTTGGTTCATATTGAGGTCTATTTCAACCATCATCCCTAGTAAATTTCAACCATCATCCCCCAAAAATGGCTGGATAAACCCATCAGCCCCAAGATCATTGGTTTCAATATCTTTAAGGGACTGATGGGTTTATCCAATCTCTGGTGGTTTCCATCAAAATCTTGAAAAATATTCATCCCCAGCCACCACCCAAAACAACTCCTCCACAACTCCAAGGGACTATGTTGCGGTGCTGCCCAATCTCGTCACGGCCACCGTAGTAGGCCGTTAGCCACGAGCTCCAGAGATCTGTGGTGTTTGGTGCACCAAACAACCCTTGGGCGGACAGCTCTGCACCACATGTACCTTGGCAAAAAATATGGAATGCTTGGGTGAAAACCTTCGGAAAACACGAGTTTTGACTGTTTTGACTGGACATGACCTGTTTCAAAATGTGGGTAAACCTGGAAAATCACAGATAAAATGTGGTTCTTGTTCACCGAAAATGAGGTTGTTTGGATCCCCAAATCATGAGAAATCATCACATCAAGCGCCAGACCAACGTGCCCAAGCCATGGTCTGTTGGTTTCTGAACACTACAACCAACCATGGCGGATCAGATTGACTAGCCCAAAGGTGGGTTTTACATACTGAAGACTACTGGTACTTGATTTAATCTGAGATAACACACAAATTCAGGGTCTTCTGAAAATTCATGTCCTGAAATCAATTCTGCTACTGGTTGGTTTTTGTTCCAAGTGCTCATTTTGGACCAAAACAGCATCGCCAAGAGACCCGGTTGAGGACCCCTAGGGCCTGTGATGCTGGCGACCTGGGCTGCGAAGCATCCTGGTTGGTGAAAAACATCAATGCCTATAACAAGACACAAAAAAAACAGGTAGATACACATATCTCTATCCATACACATCCATACATACATACATATATATATATATATAATAATAATAATTATTATTATTATATCATATATATGTATATTATACATGTATATCATACCAACATCAACCTCAACTGTCCACGGCATCTGCCACGTGGCATTCCATTTTTGCCCAGCCACGGTGTAGTTGCGAGGCGTTCCATAGGGCCACGGCGGCCAATAGAAATCGCGACCCACACCGCGGGCGCTGATCTGCGAGAGGTCGTCGTTGCCTTGGGTTTTTTTCATGGGGATATAATGGGGATAATATATTAATTTTATATATATATATATAATATATATATATATATGTAATATATATATATATGATATATATATATATATGATATATATATATGATATATGGAAATGGAATCATTTTCCAACTATTGTCCAATTACCAATATGTTATATATGTATAATATGTTGTATATAGGCATGTAATATAATGATATATATATATAGATATATGGAATCCATGTCCAACTATTGTCCAACTATTGTGTGGTTATCACCTATTATCCAACTATTACCCAACTATTGGCAAATATAACTATTTATCCAGAAACGGGATCATTATCCAATTATCCAACTATTGTATGGTTAGTTTCCTCAGGATAGGAACCATGCCCACTATAAATCATTGCGCTATTTAGAACTGGCCATCTATCATAATCTATCCCAGAACTATTGGCCATTATCCAATTCTCCAATACTATTGTTATCAATAATCAATTATCAAAATTATAACTGGTCATGATTATCATAATCAATTATGATATCAAAATTATCAATGATCAATAGTATTGTTTATAACTGGTCATCTATCATAGCCATGTCATAATTATCCCAGTTATTAAACTATCCCATAATAATATATTGGGATTACCTACAAGTATATGGTTATCTATTATAACTGGGTCAGTTCTTAGTAATATATGGTTATGATAGATATCCCATTATCTATTGGTCAGTTCTTCAATCCCAGTACTGGGTCCATGAAAGATAGAATATTTTCCCAGTTCCATGCAGCGACAAGCGAAGACAAGACTGGGATCCACAAGGATTGATAAATCGAAATCGTATCAACTGGATATTAGAAATAACTGGAAAATACCAGTAATTAGAAAAACTATTAGAAATATCCAGTAAAATAATATCTGATTTACAATTAAAATAACTGATTAGTTGGAACAGAAATAACTGGATTGGCAGATCTGATATCAACTAATCATTACTAATCTAAAGTCAGATCTACCAATCAAAACTAATCTCAAAGCTGCCAAGTTGCAAACAATGCTGGTCCACGCGAACGTTTTCTCCACGCTACCAGTGAAGTTACAAGGGGCTTCAATCTGAGCACATCGACTTACCGGGCACAGCGGGCACTTGTCGCATGCCTCGGTTGGATCCATGGTGTTTCATCGCTGCTCTAAGTGGTGATGAAAAAACAGCTAGTTCTAAAGCTAAATTACAGTAAAGGGTATTCTCAAACACAACAAAGCCACAAAGTCTCGTCTGTTTTTGGTGCTCCCTCAGTTTCCCGGATTTCTTTGGGAAAAAAATCGAGGAAACCCCATGAAAACCTCAACATTTGGGCAAAATCCACCAGCAGACAGGGCAAGTAGGGCATTTTGCTCCACTTGGAGATGACGGTTTTTGCGTCGATTGTGAGACCTGGGAGCTGCAGTTGGGAACTGTTGGAAATTATGAAACGATACGAAATAATTGGAGATTATCTGAGTGTTATCATAATTGGAGATGATCTGAGTGTTTCTTACTTTTTTTTTGAAATTATGGATCATCACCAAGATACTGTAGATAATCACTGTTGGAACTATAGATAATCTATTAGATAATGGGATTTTATTGAGATAAACCATCTACCAACTGGTGCAGGATTTCGCAACCATCCATAGTAGATCTGGAAAATCCATGGTTTCCCGTTCGGAACATGATCTGCATATAGTGGGTTCTTGACTCCAAAATCACCATTTTATGGGCAGTACTGGTGATTCACCAACCTTCGGCAAATCTGAATGGAACTTCAAAGCGCCAAATCCAAAAGGTGTAAGTCCCTAGATTCCTCAAATCCCATTCATCAAAGATATATATATATATGTATACATACTATATACATATAACATATTATATCTATACCATATATATATATATAATGATACATATACATATACATATATATTATGCATGTATATATATATACTTATACCAGGATATATCAAGATATCCACCATCCACAGCCTCCGCACCTCTTGGGACATCTGCCAGCATGTCTTGGTGCCGCTCACGTTGTACCAGACGGCGGAGGCCTTGGTGACCTGCTCCGCCAAGCGCAGCAGCGGCTGCAGCTGTCGTTCAGACAGCTGGGCAGCGTTGCTCTGCAGCTGGGACCAATCCTGCGGTGGAGATGGGGATGGGGATATATATATATATATATGTATATATATAATATATAATATATATGTATATATGTATATATATATATTTATATATATATGTATTTCACTATGGTTTATAGGCATAGGTGATATATCTATACACTTAGCCTCTGGTGAACATACAAAAAGCTATTGAACATGGCCATTGAAATAGTGGATTTTCCCATTAATAGCATGGTGATGTTCCATTGCTATGTAAACGTTCACCAGAGGGTATGGATCATACAAAAAGCCGATGTTGGGAATATCATCATACATCAACATGGAATTACCAAGATTGTTTGGGAATTAATTTTATCCATCCAAAGGGAATTACCTGCAATAGGACATGGTTTTCTTGGAGATGTAACCCCAGTAACCAACCCCCTTTGACTTGGATGAGATCGCCAAGCATCAACTGATACTTTCAGATCTCCCAGGGTCACCTGAGGCTTGTGGCAACGGGAAATGCCCCGAGGAAAACTCAGATTTTACTCGGAAAAATCATCGATGAATCTGGGTTTGTCTGAAAATGTCGTGTACCCCATTGTACCCAATGGTTTTGCTGATCATTATCCCTACTAAATGGCTATAATTGGGGGTATACCCCATTTTCAGACATACCCATCTGGGATTCTCTAGCTAGCCATGTTTGATTACTGGAGGGTAGGATGCAAGTTTCCTTCAACACGATAAGTCAGGAACGTCCCAACGGGTAAATCCACCATTTTTTGGACTATCCCAGCATACACCACACATTTTTTTCTAAAATGGTTGGATTTTTATCTTCTATACCCCATGTTGAAATACCCATGCTGAACATATTTTCATGGGAAGATTATGATCGACCGATGAACCCTGGGTTTTTTCATGTTTTTCCCAGTAATATGAGGTACCAACCCCACCAACCCCACCAACCCACCATTTTTTTCGGCGCAGTCACGGTGTAATTCAGCTCCTTCAGGGATCCTTCCAGCTGCACCCCGAAGTCTTCGTTCAGATGGCTACAAGCCACACGCATGGGCCAGGCGGGAAGAGTACCACCATCGCCCACAGCCGAAGGGATGTAGGTGGATGGAAAGGGATAGTTCCCTTCAGCCAATAGAAAGTAGGCCCTTGGTGGCTTGATGGCTTGGTGGCTTTGATCACAGCCTCTGAAAAGCTGCAAGGGGAAATTGAGGTGTAAACTGGTGGTTCCAATGGTGGATGTTCCGAATGGGAGATGGTCTCATGCCATGTTTGCTGGAGGATACGTGTTGCAACAGTCCACAAACTGTTGGTTTTACCCCATTAAAGTGGCCAAGCTTCATCTCGCGTCAACAGGATTGGAGCCCTGATAGCCGTCGTTAGAAGGAATCTACCTATTTTGATTGGCAACATTCACACTGTTTTATAGTAGTAATGTTTTTCCTGTAATCTGTTGGTTCATGCTCGTTCTATCGCCATTTGCTGATTAAATTTTGGTTTTAACTCAGGCATACAACCCACTTATTTCAGCCTCATTGCAGTCTAAAAAAAATGGTTAAATCCTCATTTTGCTGGCTTAAAAGGCCATCCATAGTGTCCATTCCACTAATTACATTCGCCATTGTTGATGGTTGTTGAACTTTAATTGGTATGTAAATGTATGCAAAACATATGGTATGTGTATACATGTAATTATGTGTGTAAAAGCCGTCTTGGGGGAAATAATTGAACAATCGAGACGAGAAATATCACTTCTCAAAAAACAAAAAATCTTCATCAAACAAATATATTCCCATTATATCCCCATGCAATCCCATTTATTTTCACTATTTTTGATGATTAATCCCATATAATCGGATATCATCCCCAGAAAATCACTCTAACATCCGATCAAATCCCATATTATTCAGAATTATTCATCATTTTTCATGGTTTAATCCCAGTTTTTCACCATGTTCCAAGGAACTCTTGCGCCCACGTGGTGAAGCTCCGGGCACTTCGCAGCGTGGCGCAGCTGTTGACGCGGCGACTCAGCAGCTGCAGCTGCTGGGAGCTGCGGAAGCCGCCCTCGAGCAACGGCCAAGCCACGCGGAGGGTGTCGAAACAGCGGTTGGACGCACCACCTGGAAGGAAGGGAAGATTAAAATACACATATTAATTATATATATATATATATCTGTAGATATATGTAGATATATCATATTAGATCGTATGATTAATAATTCTTGAAGTATGTATAGTACACATATGTAGCAAAGATAGTAAAGATATCTAATTACATATATATATATATAAGTATACTAATATAGCGACATATGCATATGCATATCGGGATACATGTCGGGACTGTCGGGATAGTCCTTAAGACGTGCACCAATCCACCAGTGGTTTCCATGGCACCTGCGGCCGACAGCCCACGAGAAATGGCCATAGATGGCCAGTCCAGCGTTTCATGCGTCACGGTGGTAGCCAGTTGCCAGATCGGCGCGGAGGCTGCGATGGCACCATCGACCACCGAGGGCATCTTCATGCGCATCCAACCGGATAACATTCCTGGCGGGAAGGATTTTTTGGGAAAGTTTGGTGGTTGTTGAGTCCGCATTTTGTTTGGGAAACCAAACAACATGAAGAAGGACTTGTGCATGAAATATGGTGGTTTCTTCCAAGTCATGGCCTTTACCCCGGACTTTCAACCCAATAAAGCCTCGTTAAGTTCAATATTCACTCATTTTTCTGGGTTAAATCCCATATGTTGGTTTGATATCTGTTGGATCTCTTCAACCCCTTACAAACCCTTCCAGATATCCAACTGTCCAGCAATTATCCAACCCTAGACATCCCAGTGATCAACAGATCCAGCTTTCAACATCTTCACCCCGAGTTTTTTCGGAAAACTTCACGCGAAACCGGGAAATCCCACTAAAACCATTGGAGAAAGAAACATCTGAAAAAAGCCTAAGTTTTTGAAAAAACTCCCAGAGACTTCCCGGGCATCAGAAAACCATAGAAAATCTATCCCCGTTGCTCCTCCATAGCTACCTCCGAAGACCACCACAGCACTTCTCTCGGCCCCACGGTTGAGGTCCGCGAGGATGGCGGCGTAGTCTGCCAAAGCTTGGGCGGTAGTGCAGTAGCCTGACGCAGCCGTTGAGGGAGACCCAAAATTCCTGACATGTCCGAGAAAAATGGGAGGTTTCACCAAGAAGATGACTGTAAATTGGGGAAAAAGGGAGGTTTAAACCATCTCGAACGGCTGCGGGATGATTTCAGCAACAGGATATTGATTGAAGCAACAGAATCTGGAGATTGAAGCCACCAAAAATGGTGGTCAATACCACAAACAATGAGGGTTTGACCAGCTCAAGGGCCCTCTGTTCCGAGGAAGCTGGAGATGGATAACTGGGAAAAATTGCAGTATTTTTGGCAGCATGGGGAAAAGGCAATCGCTCCCCTGTCACCATATTAAAATACCCAGGCATCATTTGATTTTAGCGTTTTGGCCTCCCCAATTTTGGAGGTGCTGTGATTTTCAATCCAGATATGGGGACATGATGATCCAAAGCATTGGATCTGGGTAGTGTTTTCAGGCAAACCCATACCATCAATGCAGATATAATGGGATTTTATAGTGATCTAATGGGATTTTATAGTGATTTAACCAAGGACTAGCATGTTGATAGGAAAACCGAGGATAAGCTCAGTGATTCTTGGACAAGCCCAAGTTTCTTGCGAATCTCTTCTGATTCTGATTCGCTTCCGCAGCTGCTCCCACGGCGCGCTTTTCCCATCAGCTTCCCCGAGCTCTCGCGCGTGAAGGGGTTTGTCTTCGCTGGATTATCAAGTATATCATATCTAAAGTTTGTACAATTAAATATAAATAAACAAACAAACAAATCAATGACGAATAAATAGACAAATAAAATAAATGAATACATGAATAATAAATGAAACGCATAAAATAAACAACATGCAATGCTTCAAACAGTCTATCTTCATGGCGCTATCCGCCGCTGTTCGCCCCGGATCCCTCCCAAAACTCCCACGCCTACGCAGTTCCGGGCGGCGCCCTTGCCACAGAAGGCTCCGTGTGATTTGGGTTCGCAGCGATGTTCGGCGAAGACCAAGAGAGCACCGAAGGATTCCGCCAACTCCCACATCAATCCAGTTTGATTCACCTGGGTGGTCCATGTCCAAGGTGGAAAATCACGATCAATGTAACAAATAATACCAGATAATCAGAATTTGTGGGTCAACTCCTGGTACAGGTCCCACAACTTGAAAAGAATGGTCTTGGTTTAGATGTGGATTCTATTGAGCCGGTTGAGGGTGGGGACTACTAACCACGTCAAGCGCTTGTGGTATGAAGCCTGCGGAACGGCCGGGGTCTAAGCCAAGTTTCACCAGGTGATTAGTAGATCAAATTGATCAGGGTTGAATAAGCCACCTTCAGTGGGGAACACCTGTGGATTCCAAGATTGGCAGGGCCAGCATAGGAGTTAAAATCCAGGCCCCTAAGCAACACAAGATATCATATCACCCAAACGGAAGCTGTCTCAACTCATCCAAACCGTCAATCCCAAACATGTTTAATCCCATCCCCTTAACAATATCATCAATCCCCCAACAAAGCGGATCCGTTCACTGGGCTGTTGGTTAAAGGTGATACCCAGTCATGGATTACGACAAGGCCCAATATATCCGCATAAATTCAGGCGGTATAAACCCCGAAAAGAAACAAAACCAAACATAAACATTGCTCTTCAAGTGTATTCCCATGTTTCATGCTATGTTTCATGCCATGTTTCATGGTAAAAATCTATTGAACTCCCTAAAAAACCATGACCAAGAAACCCAATTTTGTTCTGCTCAAGTGACATACTCATCCACCGGCGACTCGTTTCCGGTGTAGAAGAAGATGGGTCCAGGCGCAGTGCCCCTGGCCCTGAAACCACCTGACGAAGTTGGGGATGACATTTACAAGCCATTTACTAACAATATTGGGGATAGTTGGGGATAACCACATTGATGACACCTGCAATTGGGGATAGTTACTAACTAACATATTATATATGGATCAATGGGGATAACCGCATTATGATACTGATTGGGGATAGTTTGCATAGTTTATGGTTTTGTTATTGGGTTAACAGCATTCATGTAATGACATGTAATGACCAGAGATGTACGTATATAGATTGTTTCTTTAAAAAATGGTGAGTTGGTTTTAAAGACACTGGGATGCTATGTAAGTGATGCCATTGTGGGAATGCGTTTTACTGCATAGTTGCAAGACTTGACTTCTAAGCACATGCAAGATGAAATCATGATGTTCATTTATCTCCAAAACTGGATATCCCAAACCGCATACTTTTTTAAAATGCTATTTTCACTACTTTCCCATGAAAGAAACCACACTTTGGTAGACATATTCTTTGGACAGACCAGAATGGTTTGTAACGCCAGTCTCATTATCCCCAGGATTCTGGGACATCCGGCACTGAAGGCCTCCAGATTGTCATGTGATGTTCATTTATTTTTACTAGTGGTTTGAGAATAGCCACAATTGGGTAGACACATTTTATGAGATTTGGAAAACGATCACAAGCATTCTGTGTTCTCAGACATAGTCCCACATTGAAGGTTCAAGATGCATCAACAAATCATTCGGCTATGATGGTTTGACCATCCAATACCATCCGAAAGCAACTGACGATTCTCCAGGTTTGGAACCCGTTTTTGTTTGACCTAAACTCATGTTCCCGACGGATCACCATCCACTTTCTACTCAACGTTCAATCTGATGGAAGGCTTGTGAAAATGCGATGAACCTTTCTGGGAGACTGTTGCCTCTTCAAGCAGTGGGAGTGAATTTCGGGCTCCAGCAAATTGCCAAAACCAATCTGTGAACAGCTTGAACTAAAAACACTTTAGCTGATCTTGGACCGCGGAGCTGTCACCGCCTATTTCTGGGTTGCCCCAAGTGACAACAGAGCCATCTTCCAAGATCGCAGCAAATGCTCCATCTGTGGCCTGAACTTGCCGCACACTCTTTAGCTGATCTTGGACCCGAGAGCTGTCACCACTATAAACAGGATTGCCCCATGTGACAACTCCATCACCTCCGCTGCACCACAATGCAAAAGCCTGTTGATCCGCTGCTAGTTTTGCCTGTCCCACAACAGCTGTGACGTTGTCTCCGTCTTGCAGCCCTGCAGCCTGGAGAGGTTCTGATGGATCATTCAGTTTTCGCCCCTCTGAGGTGACAAGCTGTAGAAAATTCTTTGCCAAAGACTCCTGCGCCAAAGTCTTCAAGTCCCCTACTTTGGAGGACTGTGGAATTGAATTCAGAGGCTCGCGCTGCGACCACTGGTCAGAGACACGGTCACTTGGACGCCTTGGAGCCTCTGTTCGACATGATCCGAACACGGAGGCTGGAGCATCTTTTCAACAAATCCGTGTTCAGTGCTACAGTCTGCTGGAAAGAACATCGAGCCAATACACCCACCACGACCTTATTGTTCAGCTCTGTAGGAACAAAAACAACACTAGAAGAGATCATTCCGCCTCGGGATTCTGCATGTGATCACCAGCTTTTCACCTGATCTTCTCAAAATTGCAGTCCCGACATGCCCCTACAATCATGATTTTCTCCATGAAAAACTCACCAAGTTCTTGTCTCCATGTTTTTGGTGTTGCGGCCCAAGCCACTGAGGGAGGCGTTCCGCCACCAGCCCTCATAGAGGCAGAGCCGCTGTGGGAAGGTCGCGACGTCGACCGCGTCCGAGTCCTCGAAGTGGTCCAGGCGTTGCCGAAAGATGCGCCAGGTGCAGTTGGACGTGGAGGGCCGGGGACGACCAGTCGGACCTGGTGGTGGATGGGCTCCCTGGGAAGATCCCTTGGATGTCGATATAGTTCCGAAGTGTCTGCCAATGAAATGATGTTATCCGGTGTTCTCACCCTGACATCTAATATCCTCATACAGAAATGGGGCCCCGAACGAAAAAAAACATATGTTCTAAACCATCACCGTTTACGACACACTCAGGCTCAGGTGGTCTCCAATCCATCCGGATACCCCCAAATCATCCAGTCACTAGACCAGGACTTTGTATTCCGATTTAACCCATGGTCACGACTGGCAATCCAAACCATTTGAACAAAAAAAACCAACTGAAGGTGTCCAATCCATCAGGGTACCCCTAATTTTTTCTAGTTCTCTTTAATTTGAATGGGATTTTCCATGAAATGTATTGAAATGTATGAAATAAACCATCCAGCTATTGGGATATCCCCAAACCTAACACCTCCGACTCGACCATCGGACACCATTCCCTCTGGGCCCAACGACTCGGCTCTTGTCGCCACACACCGAAACCTCTGGGCCGATCAGCCACAGCACCTTGGATCTTGGTAGGACGTCCATTGGGTCACCCCACATGGATAAGCCATGGATAAACCATGATAAACCATGATAAACCTATGGAACTGCTTAGAATCCACCAAATTTTCGCGAAGTGTGTGAACCAAGGGCGTTTTTTGAAGAATGTTTTTTTTCAAGCCGAGGTGCCACACAAACTCAGAAGAAACAGAGTGAACATGTCAGCTGAAGCTGGTCTGGTCATGTGCCATGTGAATTGACCAGTGCATTGTCCAACAAAAACTGAAGTAAATGATTGAGGTCACATGAAGATAGGAACACATCATCGGATCATGATTTATGAATTCAAGTTGTGTTTCTGTGAAAGTTCACAAATGCTGGATGCTTGAACCAAAATATCCGGAAGACTCATAGCAACCGTGGGATATTGCGCCTGAGCATTGGACACATTTGGACACTGGCCCCACAGGGTGCCAAGTTGGCTACGCAGCACCATGTGTTTTTGTAGTCGATACAGTTGATATCCCATTTTCGGTAGGTTCGTTTGTCAGATCTGGTGGAGAATAGACCCACTATTCCCATTCTTGTTGCCATTCTTACTGGTGACTGGGTGAACATCTCCAGTTTTGCGTCGTATCCACATGCAGCGACACATTTTCGACCGCGCGGGCGTGTCAAACGGACAGGGCCACTGGCGCAAGTGGAACTAGGTGACACAGACCTGTGCGGTGCAGAAAAAGGGGAACCATCCGAATCGCGAGAACGCCTTTGTATCATATGTATAATGTATAAGTAACCGCACATGTAATCACATATGTAAACTATCTGCATGTAAACACATATAGATTTGGGCATGCAGAATAGATCTAAATATATTCATTCATTCGCTGTTCATGTGTATGTATACATATAATTCCACATACCCTCCGGTAATCAAACGTGGCAATGGAAAATCCCTCATTTATAGATATTTTCCCAGCTATACACCTCTATTTAGTTCGGGATTTTCGAGCCAGCCACGTTTGAGGACCGGAGGGTGCACATATCATAAAAGCCAGCCATGATTACCAGATGGTATATCCAAGAATCATCCCATATCTATCCCATGAAGACTGAAAAAAACACCACTTGGAGCAGTTTTTGGCACGAAAACACACCACTTGGAGCCCAGCCTCAGCACTGTTCAATGGATTCAACCACCTCTGCAGGAGCAGCTGGGCAATGCTGGGCTGCCAGTGGGTTGATGATCCTCAAAGTTCACCATTTTTTGTGGGATAAATCGTGTGGCAAATTTAAAAACAATTTAAAACCCATCTAACGAGATGTGTATGGTTTGGTATGGCTAAAATCCATCCAGAAATTTGGCGAAGTTTTCTGGGGCAGCTTAAAATAATCAATTCTTCAAGTGGGCTTCAGCATCCCTGCTCCAGTGGCCTGAGGCATCATAGTATGCCCTCATATCCACCGTTCGGTGCGGATGATGGGCAACTGGGCCTTGGGTGTGAAATGACGCAACAGCAGGACGTGAATCAGAGAAAACTCTGCTTTGGGGTGAACATAGATAGCTATACCAGTAGTACCGCACTAGGCGGTGGCGGAAGTTTCAAAAATAGGAAACCTATAGGAGAGGTGAGTTGGAGTGATGCATGGATGGCAGAGCGAAATTCCACTGATGGACCGAAAGGTGGTCGGAGTTGTATTTTTTGGAGTAGTTGCAATGGTTGCAGCGGTCACCTCACCCACAACTGCTGGATGTAGTGTGGTGTAGCGCAGCTTTAGTTGTAGCTGTAGTGTAGTGGAGTTGTAGTTGTAGTGTCGTTGCTGTTGTAGTTGTGGTGTAGTGTAATTAGTGCAGCGTAGTGTTGTGTAATGTAGTGTAGTTGTAGTTGTAATTGTAGCTGTAGTTGTAGTCTAGTGTATGTAGTGTAGTGTAGTAGTGTAATGTAATTAGTGTAGTGTAGTGTAATTAGTGTAGTGTAGTGTAGTGTAATTGGTGTGTGTAGTGTAATTAGTGTACTGTCGTAGTATAGTTGCATTTGTATTTGTAGTTGTAGTGTAGTGTAGTTGTAGCTGCAGTTGTAGTTGTAGTTGCCTATCTATCTATCTATCTGTCTGTCTGTCTGTCTGTCTGTCTGTCTGCAGATTGAAAACGAAGCTATTCTGCGAGACTTCCTCAACTTTTGAACTTGATAACGTCAAAAACGAAGCAATTCTGCGAGACTTCCTCAATTTTTGAAGTTGGCAACATCAAAAACGAAGCAATTCTGCGAGGCTTCCTTCAATAATGGAAAGTTGAGTGCAGAGCTGACGCCTCGTGCTGATGCGTTTTGCGATTTTTCCAGTCCATGTCTCTAAAGTATTGCGCCTGCCAGTAAAAAGTGAGGCCAGGCCATTCGAAGTGCTGCACCTGTCACACAAAATCATCTTCCCAAAACTGAAGATCTGATGCTCCAAAATGCAACCCCTCTCAGGAAATCAGCGGACCTCCTAACATCTCTGATGAACATGTCTTTTGTTCTGCGCTTGCCACGGAAAATGCATCTTTGCAGATGATCTTCAAATGTCCCACGCCTGCCACCGCTTTTGAAACTGCTACAAAATCCTCACGTTTTGCTCGCCTTTGACAGGGTGCACAATCCCTTGTGCCTGCCACGCGAAACGACATCTGAACGTCCAAAAGTGGTCCGAACATGTGGTGCTTTTGACATTCTGACTTGGAAAAGCGCTTCCCGCCACGACGGTGTGCACTTTTTCAACATCTCAACTTCGACAACGCCGTGCGCTTTTTCAACATCTCAACTTCGAAAAGTGGTCCGAGATCGTCAGTTTTTTACACTTTTGACTTCGAAATGTGTTTGGCGCCACAACAGCGTGCAATTTTTCATCTCTCATCTGGCCAGATGGCTCCGCACCCGCCGCTTTAGCGAGCCTACTTTTCGACCCTCCGGAGCCAAAAATCATTGGAAAAACACAGTGAATCGCGACATTTCTACCTTTTCGCGCACCTGCATCTTCTTTCCTCTGACTCTTTCTCTTGTCTGATCTTCTTTCTTCTTCTCTTCTCTTCTCTGACTCTTCGCACCTCTGCTGTTCCATCTGTCCACATTGCCGGAAGTTTGACTTCTAAACTTCCTTCGATGATAATGATCCATATGCAAAACATATGCATAATCATAAAAGTCTGCCAAGGTATAATATTCTTATCATTATTCCTATAGACTTATAATATCCATATGGCATAACAATTCATGGCATGACTTCAGTCTGCCAAGCATTGCCAGAAAAACATCCTGTGAACAGCACGGACTGCAGGGCGGTGTGCAGGCATACCTCAAGGAGGAACTGAGACCCCTCAAGGAACTGAGAAGACACCCATAGCCTAAACAGATTCTTTTGGGATGCAAATCTGAACTTCTTTTGGGAAATGCATACCTCATGTCAACTTGCATGTAGCAAACAAAACATCTTCTCTTGTGCCATTACCATTATTAAAATTCCTTAAATGGTTCTTGAAAAATGGCTCATATTTCTGAACGTTGCGGTACTTCTCAGGTGTCCACCCATAGGTACCTAGAGGGTGGGTCACTTAATCGCGCCCATTGCTCCCATTGCTCCCTGCCTTCCATCAAGTAGGTGGCCGCTTGCTCCACATTGTCGTAGGCATACTCCAGTGCACGCTGCACCTTCAGGGCCATCCCCGGCCATCCCCTGACGACTGGATGACTGCTGCGATGACGGTTCCAGCCTCATCTTCGGGGAAGCCCATGGCCATCAGCAGTTCAACCTTTGCCATGGATGAGCACAATTTATGGCATTTTCAATAGGGGAAATGAGGTTCATTACTTTCGAAATCATGGTATTTTCGAGGTGGCCTATTTTTCAAATCCAACTGGAAGATCCCAAGTGTTGTGTATCCAATTACAACAAATCTGCACTTTAACTTTAACTGCGACAAGCAAAAAAGAAGCACTACCTTATGTGTGCTACCGTGCTTACATCTCATCTAAACATTCTATAGGTGGAGGAATTCAGGACTACATACCAGAGCAGTACCCCAAACCCTTTGTCATTCCACTTTAGTGGTGGTTCCAATATTGGACTATAACTGGTATCAATAAGATCCCTGTTGAACCAGGTGCTAAGACTATGATCTCATCAAAAATATTATAGTCATATCGGATTTTCAATATATTGGAATATCTGTCACCATCAAAAATGGGTACTATCCAATGATAACCTGAGTTTTCACCATCAAACATACCCATTGGATTTTGGGCATCTCAGCCGCCAGCATTGCTTCGCGTCGCTGGATTCGGGGGTGGCAGCTTTAAAAAGATCTCGTCTGCGGCGTCCCGGACCTCACTGGGGATAGAACATGGGATGTTTTTTTTTGGAAAATTGAAAACGGAACCCCTATATTTCATAGGAAAAAAACATGGATTCCTGTAGATTTTACCTTAAACCAATCTATTGAGGGATAGAACAAACAGTTCTGACTTGGTGTCGATATGTGCAATCAAAAAAAAACGCATCTTCACAGCAAAAATGGGGCGATTTTCCCAAGAGCACGGTACAAAACCATGTGGTTGTTGATCCAGCCTCTACCAGTAGGGATGACCCAAATTCCGCAGACCCAACATTTTGACCCAAATCTGACAGTCAAAGAGGCAGTTCAAAAACTAGGGTAAGCGTTTTCAAGTGGGTTTGTACAGTTCAATTTGGGTCTCAAAATTTGGTTCCTCCAAATTCCAATCGAAAGTTTAAACATGGCCAGAAATTCGGGGTAGCCCCATCCCATCATTTCCCTTTTTTGCCTCGTGAAACAAGTTGCCACCATAGTGCTGGACCCCAGGATCCTGGCGCAGAAATTCCCAAATCACCAGCTTGATACAGCTGGATATAACATGATATGGCCAAAGGTATATCCATGAGATGTTTCATGTATTTTCATGTTATATCATAAGTTATATCCAGCTGTTTCATGGATGCTGGATAAGGTAAGTCCATGAGATTCGATGATGTTTCATGTTACCCCCATCATCGTGGCATCGTGCTGCGCCTTGAAGTTGTTACACACTTGAGCCAGATGTGCTCGTGATAGCGAACGCAAGTAGTGAGCTCCCCAGGACCTGATGTCGGACATGTAAACTAACAGTTTGCTATTGAAAATGGCTATTTAGATCGTTGATTTATCCATTGAAAATGGTGATTTTCCATAGTTTTTTGTATGTTTACCAGAGCGTAATCAAAACTGAGATCATTCAGAAACTTCATTGGCATCCTCACACAAGTTGGAGTATGATGAGACAGCATTGCAGGGGTGTTGAGGTCCTGACTGGTACCAATCCTGCAGAACTTGTGGATGACCGAATCAGTGTCACGAAACATTGCTAGAAACATGCACATCGCTATCAAAAGCTCAGGTTCTGATGTTGATATTGATCAAACAACTGAGATATCCAACCTACCTGACATTGCTATTGACATTGATATTTCTATCCTACCGTAGTTTCAATGGCTTTCAACCAACTGGTCGGTGGTGGAAATTTTGGATCTCCTGCCGCGAAACTGCCTCCCTGACTTGACCATCCACCTGCCATGCGGAAAGTTTCTGTTGCGGATGAAAGTTTATATATATAATGTGACTATCATGGGATATAATGCTGATATCATGGTGATATAATGGGACTAAATGTATGGACCTTTTGCCATGCGGATGAAAACTGAATTGTCGTAGGTTACCATCCATCTTGAAATATGCAAGTTTCTGTTGATTAAGCTTGGCCCCAGAATCTGAGGATACAGTTCGAAATAGGCTGCTGGGCTTCCCTCACGTCTTCCAGCAGTGCCGAAAGCCGCTCATCTGCACCTGCCGGAATTTTCGGTCGCTGGGCCGAAGAAACAACTCAGGTTGTGCAAAGCAGGGTATGGGCGAACGTCTAAGACTCACGACCTATAAGCATCTACGTGCAACTGTGTACGTATATATATATATATATATGTATATATATGTATATATGTATATATATATATATATGTGTGTGTATTATTGTGTATATATATATATTATATATCATGTATATCGATGTATACCGTGTATACCATGTTCAGTATCAACTATCCAGTTCCTGCATCTTTTTGGAGTATCCACATGTTTCCCCCAACCTGCGGTGGTCGCGCTTCTCAGAAAGCAAAGGAAGTCCTCAACCTGGGATCCAATGGGAATCAGTACCCTGAAAACCCATGAAAACCTATGGTTTCGGTAGGATGCCATATCTATGTTAGTCTATTGTTTTTCGGAGGCTATCTCTTCAAAGTTTATCATACACCCAAAGGTCACCAAAGTAGATTGTTGGCCAACATGTAAAAAAACCATGGAATTCCATCAGAAATGGCTGCGTTTTTCACCAATCCAAAAAGTCCCAAAAGTCCATGACTGAGGCCGCCCGGCTCTTTGCTGGGCGCCTGGGAGCTCTTCCTGACACCATGATGGCTTTTGTATCCATATATATATATATATATAATCCACTAATGATGAGGGCAACATGGAAAAATCGTCACTTCAAAAGAGTCACTTGCAAAAGCTGACGATTGGTTGATTTTGAGGTGAATTCTGGAGACAATGTCTGGTGACAAGTTTGACATCCCTTCGCTTGCTGGTTCATCCTACTTAGCAATGAGGTTATAGCACTTATAACCCCAATCATAAGTATATCAAAACAGTATATTGCACCATACTTGCCCCATTTATAACATGTTATAACCAGATCTATAGCCTTCTATAGCCTTACTAAGTAGGATAAAGCAGCTAGTGGCAGCCTCCTTCAAGCCCAACAGCTTCTGAGTCATCTCTACAACTTGCAGGCGCCAGCTCCTCGAAGCTGCGAATTTTATGTGGTGAAAGCCATGTCATAAACCACCCATGGTTAATGGAGAAATATGGTAAATATGGTAAACGCCATGAATGGAAAACATACTACCTATGGTAATATGGTAATATGGGAAATATTGAATGGTAAACATACTACCTATTTCTGGGGATATTCATGGGAAATACCCTCTGGTAATTTGTTACATAGCGATTGAAAATGGTCCATTTAGTTCGTTGATTTACCGTTTTTAAAGATGGTGATCATCCATGACAAACTGTTAGTTTACCAAAGGATTTCATGATAAAAACATATCTTCATGATAAGCCATTAATTCACTATCTAACATTATGTACAGTAATCATCTATATATATACTGTATATTATGCATGTAGAGCAGTTTTCAATTGTAGAGTTGTCTTTGCGACAAAATCTTTAAAGGCTTCCATGCTTGACAACATGGAGCAAAGCACCAGTAGGTGTGTCATCCTCTCTAAATCTTTTCGTATGAAAACAAACAGAATTCGTCATTCGGGCTCCCAAACTTCATCAAGCCCACATTCTACCCTCTGGTAATCAAACATGTATGGGAAATCCCCGATCCAAACGGAGCTTCACCGGGAAAATCATTTATCAATGGGGAATTTAACAATTCCTATGTGTGTGGACACCGGAGCTATAGCATCCAAAACGGTCAAAAAACAACGTTCTTCTTAGTGAATCTCCCATTTTGGGATGGAAAATCCACTCAAACATGGCTGGAGAAACCTCCATTTAATTAGTCCGTGTTTGCAGCGTAGACCCCAAAAATCTCGCCATTCAATCCCATGAAATGAGGTTTACACTTGATTTCTAGGGGATTTTCATGGATTTTCCCATATTTTTCCATATTTTTCCCATGAAAAACATAGGGTTTACTGGATTTTCCCATATTTTTTCCCTGGAAACCGACCCTTTTTCGCTTCCCAAAAAACCGCCCTGAGGCGCGCGCTGCAACGAGCATTCCTCGGACAGCTCGGTCGGCAAGCTCTGCAGATCCACGTCCAACTGAGAAATTGGAAATTTCACATGGCACCAAAAATGGGGAAATATCAGGGAAAATCATGGGAAAACCATGGGAAAATCATGGGAAAATCATGCGAAAATCATGGGAAAATCCACTATAAATGGAATTTAACCATCATTCATAGGATTCAATAGGATTTAATGGGATTTATGTAATGGGATTTATGTAATGGGATGGCCTCTGCTAATCAAACATCGTGTTGAGGATAATCCCCTTATAATCCCAAAAGATTGGGGACTTGACCTAAAATTCGAGGATCGTCTTGAGAAGAAAACTCAAAGCTAAAAATTCGCAGGTCTTCAATATTATATATATATTATTATCATATCATATCATATCATATTATATTATAATATATTATATTATATTATATCATATTATAATACATATACATATATATATATTATATTAGGCTGATATATTTATTATACTTTATTATATATTTAAAACGGTGATTTTCCCATGATTTTCCCTGAACATGTCCCATTTTTGGGATGTCTCTTGGATGGTGGGCCTCGTGAGACTCACTGCCAGCAGGGCCATCAAACTCCAGGTGAAGTTTGAGCCTCCGCGCGCAGCCAGGAATCAGATGAAAACGCACGGTTTTGGGGGGCCACCAATCCTCAGGTTTTGTAAAATGGGGACCTTCTACTCTATATAGATATATATTATATGTATATATGTATGGTTGTATTGGTTGTATTAGGTGTATTGTATATATATACATATGTACGTATATATATACATATATGTACGTATATATATATATATACATATGTATATGCATATATATATGTGTGTACACACATGGGGTGTTTATCCACAGACTAGCTTGGATGCACATCTAATCATGGCGACAACAAAAAAGTTGCATCTCAAGAAAAAGTACACTAGTTCAACCAGAATGGAATATTAGTTATACATCATCAGCAAGCAGTGGGGGGAATGGGGCCATCATCAATGGGGATAGGTATGGGTCACCTCTCACGGGGGATCACCCCAAGTTTTTTTGCTGCATCACGCGACAAATGCGTTGAACAGCCCACATTGAGCTCCTGATGGAACCTTGGGTGCCCAACTGGGAGATGCAGTCGAAATCGTTCGCACGAAATCAATGGCTTCGAAAGCTTGAGGCTTTCGGGGCTAGGCACACATATCTTTGCTGTCACACATCTCGTTGTCAACCGCGCTGTAGTCTCGAGCTGTAGATGATTGACCCCATTTGAAGCATGATCCCTTCACCCAGCAATGTTTAGGCGAATCCACAGTCTTGGCTGTCCAAGTAGCACAGCATGACTTCTCGACAGGCTCCGAATGAATGTGCTCATGCACATCAGCCTTCACCTGCGCATTCTTGTGATCTTCAATCCTTGTTGCCGTCATCAAGGGCACAGCAAAGAGACAAACATTTGAAAAAAGAACACGCGGAAAAAAACATACACTTTCTTGGTATGTCAATTCCTGTTTGATCACCAAAAAAGTCCAAAAAACATATCCATTTGCCCAGGAGCGATGGCCGCACTGCTAGTGCAGCGCACATCACTGAGGCAAACAAGGCAAAGCGAAGTGGCATGGTAAGCACGTCACAAGTGGCAAACAAGCGAACTTTTTTCTGAGCCAAGAATTTCTGACAGGAAAGCAAATGAAGAATTGGCCAGACCAGATCCAACGCTACTTTTATTCTTGACCCCAAGGCCGCCCAAGAGGCCCAAGTCATCCTCGATGATGATTTTGTATGATTTTTGCCCATGTTTGGGATGATTCTCACTTACTAAACATGCCAGTATATACCACTTAACATTGTGAGGTCAGGATTCAAACATGCTTAAATCGGATTTATAATTTCAGATGCTTAAAGTGGTTTATAACTGATATATCCATTTGGGATTTATACCTTATGTGGTTTATATACGAGCTATAAGTGTACAGTCGGGGTTGCTCCCGCACGGTTTTGGGGGGGCACCAATCCTCAGGTTTTGTAAAATGGGGACCTTCTACTCTATATAGATATATATTATATGTATATATGTATGGTTGTATTGGCTGTATTAGGTGTATTACATATGTATATATATATATATATGTGTATATATATATGCATATATATATGCATATATATATATATGTACACACATGGGGTGTTTATCCACAGACTAGCTTGGATGCACATCTAATCATGGCGACCCCAAAAAAGTTGCATCTCAAGAAAAAGTACACTAGTTCAACCAGAATGGAATATTAGTTATACATCATCAGCAAGCAGTGGGGGGAATGGGGCCATCATCAATGGGGATAGGTATGGGTCACCTCTCACGGGGGATCACCCCAAGTTTTTTTGCTGCATCACGCGACAAATGCGTTGAACAGCCCACAGGAACGATTGAGCTCCTGATGGAACCTTGGGTGCCCAACTGGGAGATGCAGTCGAAATCGTTCGCACGAAATCAATGGCTTCGAAAGCTTGAGGCTTTCGGGGCTAGGCACACATATCTTTGCCCTCACACATCTCGTTGTCAACCGTGCTGTAGTCTCGAGCTGTAGATGATTGACCCCATTTGAAGCATGATCCCTTCACCCAGCAATGTTTAGGCGAATCCACAGTCTTGGCTGTCCAAGTAGCACAGCATGACTTCTCGTCAGGCTCCGAATGAATGTGCTCATGCACATTAGCCTTCACCTGCGCATTCTTGTGGTGATCTTCAATCCTTGTTGCCGTCATCAAGGGCACAGCAAAGAGACAAACATTTGAAAAAAGAACACGCGGAAAAAAACACATACACTTTCTTGGTAAGTCAATTCCTGTTTGATCACCAAAAAAGTCCAAAAAACATATCCATTTGCCCAGGAGCGATGGCCGCACTGCTAGTGCAGCGCACATCACTGAGGCAAACAAGGCAAAGCGAAGTGGCATGGTAAGCACGTCACAAGTGGCAAACAAGCGAACTTTTTTCTGAGCCAAGAATTTCTGACAGGAAAGCAAATGAAGAATTGGCCAGACCAGATCCAACGCTACTTTTATTCTTGACCCCAAGGCCGCCTAAGAGGCCCAAGTCATCCTCGATGATGATTTTGTATGATTTTTGCCCATGTTTGGGATGATTCTCACTTACTAAACATGCCAGTATATACCACTTAACATTGTGAGGTCAGGATTCAAACATGCTTAAATCGGATTTATAATTTCAGATGCTTAAAGTGGTTTATAATTTTATAACTGATATATCCATTTGGGATTTATACCTTATGTGGTTTATATACGAGCTATAAGTGTACAGTCGGGGTTGCTCCCGCACGGTTTTGGGGGGCCACCAATCCTCAGGTTTTGTAAAATGGGGACCTTCTACTCTATATAGATATATATTATATGTATATATGTATGGTTGTATTGGCTGTATTAGGTGTATTACATGTATATATATATATATATATGCATATATATATATATGTACACAAATGGGGTGTTTATCCACAGACTAGCTTGGATGCACATCTAATCATGGCGACCCCAAAAAAGTTGCATCTCAAGAAAAAGTACACTAGTTCAACCAGAATGGAATATTAGTTATACATCATCAGCAAGCAGTGGGGGGAATGGGGCCATCATCAATGGGGATAGGTATGGGTCACCTCTCACGGGGGATCACCCCAAGTTTTTTTGCTGCATCACGCGACAAATGCGTTGAACAGCCCACAGGAACGATTGAGCTCCTGATGGAACCTTGGGTGCCCAACTGGGAGATGCAGTCGAAATCGTTCGCACGAAATCAATGGCTTCGAAAGCTTGAGGCTTTCGGGGCTAGGCACACATATCTTTGCCCTCACACATCTCGTTGTCAACCGTGCTGTAGTCTCGAGCTGTAGATGATTGACCCCATTTGAAGCATGATCCCTTCACCCAGCAATGTTTAGGCGAATCCACAGTCTTGGCTGTCCAAGTAGCACAGCATGACTTCTCGTCAGGCTCCGAATGAATGTGCTCATGCACATTAGCCTTCACCTGCGCATTCTTGTGGTGATCTTCAATCCTTGTTGCCGTCATCAAGGGCACAGCAAAGAGGCAAACATTTGAAAAAAGAACACGCGGAAAAAAACACATACACTTTCTTGGTAAGTCAATTCCTGTTTGATCACCAAAAAAGTCCAAAAAACATATCCATTTGCCCAGGAGCGATGGCCGCACTGCTAGTGCAGCGCACATCACTGAGGCAAACAAGGCAAAGCGAAGTGGCATGGTAAGCACGTCACAAGTGGCAAACAAGCGAACTTTTTTCTGAGCCAAGAATTTCTGACAGGAAAGCAAATGAAGAATTGGCCAGACCAGATCCAACGCTACTTTTATTCTTGACCCCAAGGCCGCCCAAGAGGCCCAAGTCATCCTCGATGATGATTTTGTATGATTGTTGCCCATGTTTGGGATGATTCTCACTTACTAAACATGCCAGTATATACCACTTAACATTGTGAGGTCAGGATTCAAACATGCTTAAATCGGATATATAATTTCAGATGCTTAAAGTGGTTTATAATTTTATAACTGATATATCCATTTGGGATTTATACCTTATGTGGTTTATATACGAGCTATAAGTGTACAGTCGGGGTTGCTCCCGCACGGTTTTGGGGGGGCACCAATCCTCAGGTTTTGTAAAATGGGGACCTTCTACTCTATATAGATATATATTATATGTATATATGTATGGTTGTATTGGCTGTATTAGGTGTATTACATATGTATATATATATATGTATATATATATGCATATATATATATATATGTACACATGGGGTGTTTATCCACAGACTAGCTTGGATGCACATCTAATCATGGCGACCCCAAAAAAGTTGCATCTCAAGAAAAAGTACACTAGTTCAACCAGAATGGAATATTAGTTATACATCATCAGCAAGCAGTGGGGGGAATGGGGCCATCATCAATGGGGATAGGTATGGGTCACCTCTCACGGGGGATCACCCCAAGTTTTTTTGCTGCATCACGCGACAAATGCGTTGAACAGCCCACAGGAACGATTGAGCTCCTGATGGAACCTTGGGTGCCCAACTGGGAGATGCAGTCGAAATCGTTCGCACGAAATCAATGGCTTCGAAAGCTTGAGGCTTTCGGGGCTAGGCACACATATCTTTGCCCTCACACATCTCGTTGTCAACCGTGCTGTAGTCTCGAGCTGTAGATGATTGACCCCATTTGAAGCATGATCCCTTCACCCAGCAATGTTTAGGCGAATCCACAGTCTTGGCTGTCCAAGTAGCACAGCATGACTTCTCGTCAGGCTCCGAATGAATGTGCTCATGCACATTAGCCTTCACCTGCGCATTCTTGTGGTGATCTTCAATCCTTGTTGCCGTCATCAAGGGCACAGCAAAGAGGCAAACATTTGAAAAAAGAACACGCGGAAAAAAACACATACACTTTCTTGGTAAGTCAATTCCTGTTTGATCACCAAAAAAGTCCAAAAAACATATCCATTTGCCCAGGAGCGATGGCCGCACTGCTAGTGCAGCGCACATCACTGAGGCAAACAAGGCAAAGCGAAGTGGCATGGTAAGCACGTCACAAGTGGCAAACAAGCGAACTTTTTTCTGAGCCAAGAATTTCTGACAGGAAAGCAAATGAAGAATTGGCCAGACCAGATCCAACGCTACTTTTATTCTTGACCCCAAGGCCGCCCAAGAGGCCCAAGTCATCCTCGATGATGATTTTGTATGATTGTTGCCCATGTTTGGGATGATTCTCACTTACTAAACATACCACTGATATCATATCACCATGGTGAGGTCAGGCTTCGATCATCCCCCAAGCGGATGGCGAGCCTCTCAGGTCTTGCGACAAACTTCAGATCCAAAATCACGTCCTGCAGGGAAAGAAAGCCACTGACTGGTTATAAACCACTGACTGTAGGAGAATAAATCATCATTTATAACTGATATATCCATCTGGTTTTAAAACTGGGTTTGAGAGAAAATCACACTTCCTTTCTTGAAACCATCAGTTACAATGGGGATTGATGTAAGTTTTTCCCTGTCAAAAAACTGGGATGACTGCCTAAGATCAACAAGAACAGCCAGAATTTCGCCCAACATTTGGTGCTCCCAATATCCAGCTCCATCCGCTATTCTTTTCTCACTCAGCTTGAAACAGTAGATGTGGTTGTCTCTACATCCAACGGCTAGCCGCAGCTGTTCAGCATCCCACCAAACCACTGGTGATGAAAAAACCTCCAGGGTGGAAAAAAATTGGACGAACCAACAAAAGTCGGTCAGGATGTACCCAACCAACATGACAGTTAAAGGGACCAACTAGTTGACTTTTGATTCACATTCAATATCAGAACATGCGTGTGTATATACAATATAATATATATATATACATGTTCCATACATGTGAATCACAAATTGATGGTTTACCTATCACCATCCAGCCAGACCTCCCCTGACATCTCAGCGCTTCCAAGGATTTCCTCCCCCTTGGCGTCCACCAAAAGCAGCCTCCCGCCGCGCGTTGCCACGGCCACGAAGGCCCCGGTGCCACCGTCGGAGACCACGAAGGGCGAGCCGTAGATCACGTCGCCCACAGCCAAATGCCAGGCGATGCGCCCAGAAATGATGCAGTAGAGATGACCACCATGGGTACCAATGAAGATCTGTCCGCAAAACGCTGGGCAAAATGGTGGTGTTAAAATTTGGAAAAACACATGGAAGTGATTGATGTGATGGGGTTGAACATAGATCAAACATGGTTATGCCTACTGGATTCGGCTTCATGTCTTGCACACTCACTGGATGCTACGTTGATGATGGGGTGAGGTTGGGGGGTGGTAATTGCAGTACATGAACCAGTGCATTTGATTTAGAAAACAAACAAAATGCTACGATTTCGATGCTGTGAAAATTGGCGCTGATGTCTGTGCAGTCTGTCAATCGAAATCAAGTGACACTTGGTGTTTTAGCGAAAAAACATGGTTGAAATGAACGATCCGAAATTCGGACGTCTGAATTTCATGGATTTTGGTCAAATATGACACCTCGGTGTGACAAGGAATGCCATGTGATTTTTTGGATGTCAACACTTTGGTTTCAGGTTTGCCAAGATGTTTATGAGCATATATGGATCAAAAGAAATTCCTAGGCAACTCAGAGATGGCTGTAGATACCACAGAAATCACCAACACCTCTATGCTTCCTAGGTCTCATTTTTTGCACCCTTGAAATATGACCTGGTAACATGATTTTTTGGTCCTTTTGGGGTTCAATCTAAGATTTCCTTGGGCTCAATTGTATCCCTTTACATACTATACCCTCTGGCAAACTAACATAACTATGGAAAATCACCATTTTTAATGGGAAAATCCACTATAAATAGCCATTTTCAATAGCTATGTAATAAATTACCAGAGGATACTACCATTTTATATTTCCCATGAATCATGCTGAATTAGTCTTCTCGTCAGGTTTCTGAGTTGCTGAAGCAACATTTTTGTATAGATTAAATCAATATCCAGTTATATAAATTCTGTTGCATGGGAAAAATTTCAACATCTCCAACCAAAATTTGGAGAGAAAATCCTCAATTATATCCTATTATACAGTATCCCTATTGATGATGGTTGGTTTTATACCATCCCATTTTCATTGGGTTATTAAATCACCACAAATCCATAAAGAGTTACGGTATATCCCATTCCCCTTTAGTCGCGCCCATTAAATGCTTCATGCTTAATCAGATGATTTTAGTGGATCATTCCCCCTTTTTCCACATTAATCCCATCCACCTAATATTAAGCGTCACCTAAATGGTCCCAATTATGTGGAAAATTCCTACTGAACCATGGTTTCTCAGGTGTTTAATATTAGGGGGCAAAAATCAGTCACATTTCTCATGATTTTCCCCAAAAATCTCCCACCTGTTCACCCCATCGGCATGGCGTCCCGAAGGCGTTCCCCTCCAACGCCAGGCTCCAGGTGCGTCCGCCCCCTGCGTCGAGGCATCGCAGGACGCCGTCGACGCTCAGCACCAGGCAGCTGGCGGCGAACGGCAGCGGCGCCGCGAAGAAGGGCGCCGAGAGGCGGAGGAGCCACTGGCGCAACGGCACCAGGCGGAAATCCTGGGGACATGGGACATATATGGGAAATAGATGGAAAATATGTGGGATAGATGTGGGATATCTATGGGAAAATATGCTAAATATGCTAAAACGTGGTGTAAATGAAAAAAATGGATAAATATGGTGCAAAACACGATGGTAACATTTGGTGAAATATGGTAAGATTGGTGGTGACCTAGCAAATATTGGAGAAATATCACCTATATTCCTTCAAACCATGCGGGGTTTAAGCTAATGAATATTGATATGGGGATGTTTGCCAAGGGTCTTGTAGGGTTTCTTGTGTTTGCTTTAGTTTAATCAGGTTGATGAATGGATTTCTGGTAGAAATATCTATGTTTGGAGGATGCGGTTGGGGGAGATGGCAAAAACTGTGGACATTTTTTGGTGGAAAATAGTACCCAGCTTTACCAAAAACCAATCAATGCTGGGTTGAACAGCTTCAAATATAGGGACGGATTATACATATAAAATATTATAATTATACATATAACATATTATATACATATAAAATATTATATATACATATATATTATATTATATATACATATATTATATTATATATACCGTAATATTATTATTATATAATATACACACACACACAATATTTTTGGGGTTACCCGCCAGCTGTGAAAACCAGGGGATTCCATTGGGAGTCCATATTGGGAGCCATGGCTGTGCCAAGAAACAGCTGCCTGATACTTCAGAATGGATTGCCCTGACGTGGTGGCAATGTACCTGGCAGGATCCCAGTGGCCCAGGATCGGAATTTGGGGGCCCTGGCCGACCCGAAGTTTTTGCTACCTCAGAGGGTTAATCATCTTGGGTTCACATGGGTTAGATATGACACTTTGGCATTTGGGGTTTCAAAACATGAGCTTTCAATGATGCAAATCCCAAACTTTCGATGCATCCCGGCGAGGTGCATCGTTTGACCTTGAATCGCAGGAGATGCGAAGACTGCGCCTGGTGCTTTCACTTCCCATAGACGTTCGCCTGACTTTGCATCAACACCTGGCAGCTTACCAGGTTGGGGCCTCCAACATCGAAACAAACCATCGGCACGGGTGAACTGATGATGGTGAACTCTTGGTTTTAAACTCAGTGAAACAAACATACAGCGTTTTGACCCCCAAAAAACACCGCCACCTGCCACTGTACCGCCATGTGTGCCCACGATGGCAACAGCATTCGCAACCACCGGGGCGCTTTTGATTTCAGTGTCGCTGTGCGTAGGTGACACCACGCACGACCAGTGCATGGAACCTGACTGCAGGTCCATACAGTGCATCTTTCCGTCGTAACCTGCCGAATGGCAGCTGGGAAAGAAACATCTTAAAGGTGCGATAAACGTAGTGACGCCACCCAAAATATCCAATAGCATCATTTTTTTGGTTGACTTTTACATCCCAAACTCTGCAACCCTATTGGTTTTTGGGTGTTTTTCCAGCAACTTTTTCATCCCCACTTTTCACATTGCCACGCCACACACGGCGAAGACACGGTGCTGCCCGTCGATCACGGCGCAGGCACAACCAGCTTCGATGCGGTCACTGAGTTGCAGCTGCCAGCGCTGGGCACCGCTTTCTGCATCGAAGCAGCCCAGCTGATGGGAATGGGACCCGATTAACCTGGAGAACTCGAACTCCGAGCTGATTTTGGGTGAGCTGGGATGGTTTCATGTGAAAAAATACAACAATAAGGTGGTTAAAACAATGTCATACACCACCCCATGTTTGATGGTTGATACCACCCATGTATGTCAAACTTAGGGATGGTTTATGATTGTTTTAACCACAAACCACTGGGTAATATTAAAAACAATATGGGAATCCAGTCGTTGCCGAAACCAGATGATCCCATACCCGAAACATCCCGAATTACCTGTGAACTGTTCCCTCCAAACTCATATCCAGTTTGGTCAACAAATTTCCTGACATTTTGACAAAAGGATCTTTTCCCAAAGTCATTTGAGCAGTGTTCAAAATCCCGAAATGTCATTCCACTTAATCCTGGTTGGTTAATAGGGATTCCCCGTTCTTGGATTATTATAATCTTCAATACATTGGGTAGTATAATCCCCTATAAATATCATCATCAACCAACAGGGGTTTTGCAGTCACTGCTCATTTCTTCATATTTCCATCCCCTTGTTTTCAGAATCTCCAGTCCTTGTTGTCCCAGTAACAACCACCATCTTGGCTGCGCAGCCTTCGGCACATTCACCAGCAAGGGAGGTGCATCCACACATTGCCGCAAATCCTAGGTGCGCCAACGAAACGAAGGGAATGAGTGGGGCCAAAAAAGAATTGTTGTCAGCCAGTCATCATTTTCTTTATCACCAAATTAGTATTCATTAGTATTCATGAGTGGGAATACCTTATGATATCTTCAATTAGCTGATACTAATTTGAACATATTTGAAATATCATTGTGAGCAACATGGGGATACACCAAAAATATCTAAACATACTGAACATCCTGAAAAAGGCCCAGGTATCCCAGGTTTCTTCGTGTGCATGTGGACCATTGGACCAGCCAAGAGTCGGACTGCATTGGGACCGGCTCAAATGGTAAGATTCACTTCGTGGGCTATGGTTTATTGTTAACACGAACCATCAAATCATGGTAGTTATCCAATCATCAACTCCATAGATTTATGGTAACTCCATAGATTTATGGTGACTCCATCAGTTACCCATAGCCATTACCCTCTGGTAAACTAACATAACTATGGAAAATCACCATTCTTTATGGGAAAATCATCTATAAATGGCCATTTTCAATAGCTATGTCAGTCATAACCAGAGGGTACCCATAGCCGTTACCACTTTTGGATACTTCCATACTGCCCCCTGCCCCGCATCGCCAAGCATCGGCTTTCCATGACAGGACGACTTCCGTGTCTCGCGTCTCGCCGCGGGGAATTTCCGTGGCTCCAACATTGCAGGTACCACCTGTCGTTGGGATCTGAAGATGGGGCTGTCCTAATGGCTACCCCAAATCATCCAAGTCCTGGATACCCTCTGGTTATGACTAACATAGCTATTGAAAATTGCCATTTATAGTGGATTTTCCCATGAAAAATGGTGATTTTCCATAGTTTTTTGTATGTTTACCAGAGGGTAAGACATTTTGAACCAAAATGGTGACATGGGTCATCTGGATCCACCATTTTAAGAAACCACCAGATCTGAAACGTCATGAAACATCCTTGTGATAAAGGGCTGCCCTTCACGTTTTGCTTGATCTTGGGGAGAATTGACAAGGAAACCAACGTCTTTGAACCATCAACATCAAGGTGTCCTGTTGAAAACAGGAAGCCAAGGAAATGGGTACGTGTTAGTTTATGTCATAAGCTTGAGCCTTTCCCATCTCATAAACAAGGAGTTCTACAAAAATTGGACCCCAATTTTGTCCATTGCCAGAGGAGCAACATCTTCCCCACCTCGTTGCAAGACCTCCACTGTCTCAGCTGGACCAACATCACCCTCTGCCTCTGCCGCAGTGTCTGTGACCATTTCTACTTCAGTATCCTCATGCTTTCGTTTTTTGGAGCTTTGGCACAACTTCAGCAGGCAATTATACGAGACCGATGCCGCCTCCATAATCTCATCATACGCCAAGTGGGGCCAATGCTGTCGCAACAAAGATGCCAACTTCATCAAACCCGCTGAATTGCCACCAGATTCCATGAAGGACACATCCTCACCGTTGAAAGCGAAACCGAAGCCCAACGCACTGTGCCATGCATCAGCCACCACACCCACTGGACCCACGCCATGCTTCAAATCGAAAGATGCTGAGAGCTTCTGAGCCACGGCAAGTCGATCAATTTTGCCGCCTGAATTCAGGAAACACCATTTTTGCTAATGGTGATTTTGGCTACTGGTGATTGTTGTGATGGTGATTTTGTGATTTTTGTTAATGGTGATTCTAAGTGATTCTTGGCCAATACAAGGCTTTCGGAGGACGTTCCAGCCGGAAACTAGATACATTGACATTTAGTTTCTGGATGTTTGTGGTTTTGTCTTGTTCACTTTGGGGATGTATATTTACAACAGTATGTGTGACTCACATACTCAAACCATGGGGGTTAAGACGTGCTACTAGATGGAGGGTTCCCACAAATCACCACAAATTACCCCAGCCCACCCAAAATCAAAAACACATCCTGCATCGCCATAGATCACTATAAATTACCATCCCCATACTTCCCCAACTTCCCATAAATCTTTATATTTCATGTTTCCGTCCAGCCATGCATGCTATAGCATGCTATCATCCAAAAAAAACCATTGAAAGATCTCATGAAAATCCCAGTAAAATCCAAGTAAGATCCCATCAAAATCCCACATCCCATTGAGATCCTATTAAAAATCCCATCAAAATCCCATAAATATCCCATATGTTTGACCTTTGGCTGGTTCATCCCATAGAAATCCACCTGGAAGTCGCGGCATTTCGTCCAGCAGCAGCACTTTGCCCGGCACCGCCACCGCCGGCAGCCGCTGCGCCAGCGCCCGCCGCGCCGTCGCCGCCGTTTCCGTCGAAGAAGCCGCGGCGACCACGGCGGCTGCCAGGGTCGGCGTGCCGCGGTGGTCGACCAAACAGCAGGCGGCTTCGGTGAAAATGGGATGTTGATCTTGTTGATCTTGGTCCCTGAAGACAGAAAAAGAATTTGATAAAGCAGAAACTGGAGTTCTTGAAAACTGACCTGGCTTAAAAAGCACCTATGAAATTCACTGAAGCAGGGGGAACACCCAATTTGTTGAAAAAACGGCAAAGAGGTTGGGATGATCAAACACTTACCTGGCTTGAAAAATGACCTAAGGACGTTCAAGTTCATTGAAGTTCATTGTTTTTTGGATGGAAATGGATGGAAATGGTGACGTCTTAAGGTTTGATGCTAGAAGGTGAAGAAACAACATCTGTTGGAACCAACGCCAAGGACCCACAAGTCATAGCAACCAATGTATGCCACTCAGTGGGGCCAAGACTTTCGAGCCTAAGATGGCTGAAATGACTTGAGTTGTATACAGCAAACACTGGTATCTCTGCATGACAGCAATAGCACCAGTAGGAATAGTAGGCCTAGTAGATCAAGTAGCATGAGTAGCCATAGTGGCGCAGCAATAGTCGTAGCAACAGCAGTATCAGCAAACAGCAGACATAGAGATTGAGAGCTGAGAGTCGAGACACGACTTGTAAAATTTGTAAATAGTGTGTCCCAAACATGTGATGTTCAAATCTACCATCTGGTTATTTAACATAGCCATGGAAAATCCACCCATTTTTAAGAACGGTAAACCATCTATTTCGATTAGGGCCATCGAAAAACCATGGCTATGTAACAAATTACCAGAGGATATTTAAAACATGTGATGTTTAAATCTATTTAAAACCCATCATAATCCCATCATATGTTCCCCATATTTCAATGACACTTTGTGGGGTCCATCCCCATTTCTTGGAACAGTTCCCCACCTGTCAGATTCCGAAAGACGCAGATCACCGGAGCGCAAAGACGTCAGAGCCAATTCCACCAGCGACAGTTCCACGCGCTGTCCACGGACCTTGGGTGCTGAAGTAAACCCATAATGGCTTATATAATGGCACATATATATATATAATTATATTATATTATATATCCCATTATATAATATATATATATCCATAATATATCCCATCATGATATATATATATATAATAATGGCTTATAAAGGATCATTTTTCGTAAACCCAGGTAAACTCCACGTTTTTCATCGTTTTTCGTGGCAGTAAACTCCAGGATTTCCAACCCCCCCAGCCATTTCCATCCCCAGAAAAATCGCACCTTCACCATCTGATTGCAGCGGCCCAAGATCTGCAACGTCTCCCCGCCGTTCTGCGCCACGGCCCAGCGTCCCACGTCGCCGCTGCGGAAGCAGCGAGTGGGTCGTCCCGGTCGTCCCGGTCGTCCCGGAAATGTCACGAAGGGAGAGGAGCTGGAAACATCTTCGAAGTATCCTGACCATGGGACCATGGCAGATACGAAATATACCCTCTGGTAATTTAGCAGAGCCATGGAAAATCCACCCATTTTTAAGAACGGTAAACCATCTATTTCTATGGGCCATTTTCCATGGCTATGTTAAATGACCAGAGGGTAGTATAATACTATCAAGATCTATCAAGATCTATCAAGATCTATCAAGATCTATCAAGATCTATCAAGTAGTAATCATACTGAGATTGAGTATGAGTAATAAGTATTACTCAATCTCAGTAAGTATGATTATTACTACCAAATAATCATACAATGATTGCCAATGACCATGGGGAGTGGCAATGATTCGTAAGAATACTAATATTAAGTTTGGAATTAACGGCCAGTAACTAACCAAGTAATCATTAGTCACTTGGCAGCTCATGATCCAATGATTAGTCACAATATTGATAGAACCAGTAATAATGATAATGACAAAAATAATTCTGAGTAGTAATGACATATTGACGGTAATAATGATAATACTATTGACCATCATAACACTAGTAATCATTATATATTGACTAGTAATACTGATAATACTAATGATGGTTGGTAGTGAGTATATCAGGTCAATGATGAGTTCTGATCCAAGGTCATCTCAAACCTCCCAAAGTTTGATATGGGCAAAATGTTGATGCTGTATCAATATATTCACTGTTAAAGTAGCCATAAATGAGGTATACACTGTATACACTACTTTCAGACATAGAAACATATTTTAGAACCCGCCTGATGACAGGCAAGCTCCAAAAATGAAGACTTCCCCCTCCTCACCAGCTGTACATTCAGCATCCCCTTCTTCACCGCGTATTTCCAGCCACACATTGGGAATGGCCCGACCACATGGCACCAAGGGATGCTCGATAGCCACGTCATCCCTTGGTAACTCTGCATAGGTGGCATCAGCCGCCACTTCAGTGGAGCCGTAGAGATTTAGAACGGTGCAATCTTTTGGCAAAGTCTTCTGCAACTTTTCCAGCAACTTTCGAGTCAATAACTCACCAGAAGAGGTCAAAAATCTCAAGGATGTCCATGGATTTTCAGGGAAATTCTCCGCTTCCAACAAGGTGGCATGGAGCAGGGTAGGGGTCATCACCAGCCGGGTCACCTGAGGAAAAAATTAAGCATCAGACTACAGAAATACAGGATGCCAATATTTATGGGTTCGATAGCCATATCACTATCACGATTTCACATTCACCCCTTCCTACTTGGGTAAATGTAAATGAGCTGCGTTCTTTTCTTGAACAATGCCACACCATTCAAATTCGTGTTTCTCGTACGTGGGTTTGAAACTAAGGTAGCCCTAAAACCTAATGATCATATTTTTTTCCCTATTGAAGTTGTTATTTAGGCGTTAATCCCAATAATCATAATTGTCCCTATTAAAATTATTTAAGCGTTAATCCCAATTGTTTAGACAAATCATCCATAGATGGATTTTCCATTATAAACCATCCAGCTATTAGGGTACCTGCATTTATGGATATATATATATAATATATATATATATTGTGAGATTTTCCTTCGTCCAACGGCCGCTGCATCAGGTAGCTTGACTTTGTCTTTATCTTTGACTTTGACGCCATTTGTTTCTTCAGCTGGCCCGAACTCAGATGGCCTTAGTGGCCCAGGTGTTTTCAGGTCTGCTGCGGCAGATGACACGCACAAATTCCAGAAGTCCAGCAGAGGTTGGATGACACGCCACAAATAGAGAAGTGCACCAGTTGGCAAGAGTGACAAGCACAAATCAGAGAAGTGTACACATAACAGTAAGACAGCTGAATTCATTTGTTTCATTTTACTTTCGTCCCTGCGGTGAAAAGAGCTCAGCGTTACCAGTGCATTTCGCACTGGTAGCGGAGCTACCTGGTGCCATGGCGGATGCTTCATCGGCTGCTAAGCCGTACTGGTCCGATCATGAGATCTGTATGGACCGCGACGGTCTGCCGCACTACACAGGTGTGCACTCCCATTTGATGAAAGAATACCGGCGAAGAGTTCTGTTCGCCTATGGTTCTTTAGAGGGCGACGGTGACACACCGGAGAAGGAGGCGGCGGATTTAGAGCGGAAGCAGAAAAGGTTTGCGACCAAGTTGATCAATGGTTTGCACGGAGAGGCCTGGAGAGCCGTGGAGCATTTGACCGTGGACCCTGCGAAGCTGAAGAAGAAGGATGGCTACAAAGAAATCTTTGCAGCACTTCAGTCAATTGAGAAAGAGGGCATCATCAAGAAGACTGAAGCCTTTGACAGGTTTTTTGAGCAGACGACCAGACGCAGGGGAGATCCAGTGGACCAATACTTGCGAAAGAAGATTCAGGCATGGGAGGATTTGAAAGACCTGGACGAGACATCGGCTATGAGCGAAGACCTTTTGAGCTATTTTGTTTTGAAAGGTTGCAATTTGTCTCGCGAAGATCGCCGTTCCATTCTACTGGCAAATCAGAGTGCTTATGCCCGTCAAGGGATCATGCAATCATTGCGTGTGTCCTTCCATGACTTGCATGAGAGAGAGAAGACTCATCCTGGCCGAGATCTACGACGTCCCATGGGCAAAGGTGGCAGAAAGGGCTATGCAGTGCATGAAGAAGATGAAGCCTGGGATGAAGATGCCACAGCCAATGAGGCCTACTACGATGAAGCCGAGGATGGATATGAAGAGTCATGGGATGAGCAAGCTGAAGATGCCATGCATGCTGCTGGCGATGAAGATCAAGCTGGCTCCGATGAGGGAGCGTCCAATGATGACCAGGTGTATGAGGCCTACATGGCTATGAACAAGTCTCGCTCAGGTTATCAGGAAGCCCGGAAGAAGCTGCGCGAAGTTCAGAAGTCAAGGGGCTTTTACAAGAACTCCTTCAATGAGGACCGTCAGCATCTCATCAACCGCGAGAAATCCAAGAGCCGCTGTCCGGCCTGTCACAGAGTTGGCCATTGGGCAGGTGATCCTAGCTGTCCCAAAGCCGGCAATTCAGGGCCCAATCGTGGTGGCGGAAAAGGCAAGAACAAAGGACGTTTCCAGAAGAAGGGCAAGTCCGCCTACATGGTTTCGGATGATCCTTCGTTTTTCAACTTGACAGATTTGGATGACGAGGGAGCAGATTTGATCCTTTCTCCCGAACATTGCCTGATGGTTCGCGGTGAAGATGGTGATGATGAACATGACATGCTGCAAGACTCTGGATACACTGAGACAGATGATCGTCGCAAGCCTCCGGCATCCTATGCATCCTCAGACTGGGAGCGCATCAGTTCGAGCCCGATGCCCGGAGCAAGCCATTCCTGGGAAGTTCAGCCCGAAGTCCCAGCGAGATCCGTCTCAGAGACCCAGGAAGTCATTCGTCCAGTTGTGCATGCCCACATCGAGACCAAGGAGGTTGAGAGCTTGACGGCAGTGAAACCTTCGGATTTGAATGACAAGAAGGCATATGAGTTGCAAGAGATTTGCAACCGTTGGGGCATTCAGACGTCAGGCAACAAGAAGGTTTTGATCGATCGTCTCAACCTTTTGTTTTCAGGAGCACCAGTGCCAAAGAAGAATTGCACTATGAAGTTCTTGCGTTTGATCGATGAGGGCCATAGCAGTGGCAGTGAGGTTGAGAAGGTTGCCGGTACTTTTCGTGCCCCAATTTTGGAGCCCAAGTCTTTTGCCGCTCCAAAGCCCAAAGCCAAGTGCAAGCCTTCCTCAGATGAATCGGCATACATGTTGCATGAAGCGCCAAAATCGGAGAAGAAGCCTGACAAGCAGATTCGTCTCTCTGACTTGGAAGAGGGCAAGCCTGTGGATTCTTTGCGATGTGATGCTTGCAATGTCCCGATGGTTCCACGCCGCAATCGCCTCACAGGCAGTCCGTTCTTTGGCTGCAGCAATTTCCCAAAGACTGGATGCAGATTCACAAAGACCGCAGAGCAAGGTCTTCAGACCATCAATGCTCAAGGAGCCTGTGGCTCCACGCAGTGACGGAAGTTTGACAAGGGAAGCACCCCTGGAACAGCGGGGGATGTTGCATGAGAATTTGTACAATGCTGATTTTACCTTTGCTTTTGTTGCCAATGAGGATGGTGATAGGGTAGATGTCACAGGAGAGGTGCAAGAAGCTTTAAGGTCACACCATCAGCTGGGTAATGGCTCCAATGCTGATGAATCCAAGTTGGGCCTCGTGGACACAGCCTGCACGAGTTGCATGCATTCCCGTAAGTGGAGGGAAGCCTATGAAAAGACATTGCCTTCTGGATTTGTTTGCCAAAAGACTGACCGCACCAAGATTTTCCATTTTGCTGACGGAAGTTCAACTTCTACCAAGGTTCCAGTGTGGAAGATACCAATTTTTCTGGGCAACCGTCCAGGGATGGTGCAGTCAGCTGAGATTGACACAGGCACGACCCCGCTCCTGCTCAGCATTTCAGCCCTTGCAGCTCTTGATGCCATTTTGTTTGTGAGGAAGAAAATCATGCGGGTAGAGGAATTGCAGCTTGATATCCCCATGGTTGAAACATGCACCAAGCACTTAGCAGTGAAGGTTTCGTTTGATGAGGATTGTCCAGAGTTCAAACCAGCAGGACATGGAGCGCCGGTTTGTCACTCCATCAACGATGATCTTTTTGTTTATTACAACAACGAAGCTAAGTTGTGTGTTTTGTCTGGCGATTCCACAGTGCAAGTTCCAGACCAAGATTTTAGCTGCAAGGCACAATTTGGGCCTCGGGGCATTCAGTTGAGTGACAAGCGCTGTGATTTGCAGGTCAGACGTGCCAAGGAGCTAGCCAAGGTCACAAGGCGTTTGAGGTTAGAAGACCAGCGTTCTTGGGCAGCCCTTCGCTGTCAATACTCTTTGGCAGAACAAGCCGCAACTAGGGGTTTTCAGAATACCGTGATTTTTGAACCGTTTGGAGGCAAATTTGGAGTCACACGTGTTGCCAGTAGCGAGTGGGGCTGGACCAATAGCCAGCCACTTGACCGATTAGATGGACATGATCTTTTAGCTCAAGAAGGCCAAGCACTACTTTGGAAGACTTTAGCAATTCACCAGCCTTTTCTTGTCCTGATAGCTTTTGATTGCCGAATCTGGAGTTTGCTCACCAACATGAGCCCGAGTGTCAATTGGGAGCTGCTGAGAAAGACAATCGGCAAGAAAACCTTGAAGCTAGTCAAGGACATTTGTAAGTATCAACATGACCACAACAGGTACTTTCTGCTGGAAAATCCGTTGCCTTCTGCAGCTTGGACTTACCATGACATTTTGAAGAGTTTGTTGACAGACTGTGGTGGCAAATTTGTCATTGGCGATCAGTGTCCATACGGTCAACGTGATCCAGTCAGTGGGCTGCCTGAGCAAAAGCGCACTGGTTGGTTGGGCAATTCTGAAGTGATTCTCAATGAAGTCGGCCGTAGGTGTAGTTGTCCACATGGCTCACATCAACACATCGTTGGCAATAACCAGTTTGGCCAGCGATCCAAGCAAGCGGCTTCATACCCCACCGCTTTGTGCCGGGCGATTTGCCGAGGTGTTCTCAAGGAGATGCAATTGATCTATGTGATCAACGAGTTGCGTGGCGAGCATGCCATGCCGGTGGAGGATGAGGAAGATGCCGAGATGGAAGAAGTGTCTAGGCCAGATGAGGGGCCTAACCCAGGAGTAGATGAGGACTCTTGGGAACTGGATGAAGTCAATCTAGAACTTACCCGTCATCACCGAGTCCCTAGAAGGCATCTTTTTGTTCCATTGCTTGGATCTGAGACACCGGTCCCATTGGACAGGTTGACAGGCCAGAGGACAGTTCACTGCAAAACTGTCAATGAAGACAGAACTTGGACATTCACTGACAACTGGACAGATCGAGTTGATGGTGGCCGAGAGTTGGATAGATTTTGGGTTGGTCGCACGGTTTTTGCTTTGCATCCACTTGAACTAGCTCTACCAGAAGAAAGTGCACCTCAGGAAGTAGAGAAGAAAGGAGCTTTGAGAAGAAGACGAGTCAGAACTCGGCAACTTCAGCGGGGTCTTTGGTCCATAGATCAAAACCAGATGGTCAAGACCTTGATGGAACTGGCTCATGAGAGGTATCAAGAAAGTGGGGCCAGTGGGAATTGGATCATTTTAGACCTGACCACAGAGGTTGGAAAAGAGTGGAAGGCGTTGGAGTCTGCACAAGTTGATCTTCGTTTGATACTTTCCTCAGTTGACGCCAGACGACTTCGAAAGCCACAACCTCATGCTCAGGCAGCTGAAGTTCCCTTGCGAAAGACTCTGCTCCTCATGTCCAGCGGCGACATTTTGTCGACTGGCTGGGAAGATTGGCAACAAATAGCACCAGGGTCGCAAATGAGACCTTTACCAAGACAACCGCGGAGGCTGTGTATCACCCTCTTCGGTGCCCAAATAGGAGCCGATGAGGTAGAAGATGGTGATGGTGAGCCTACAGATCCTTTGAGACATCGTGAAGAAGAAAGGCTCAGGAAATGGAATGCTCTTCCTAGAGAGCTCAAGTTGGCCATACAGCGCATTCACACCAACCTTGGACATGCCCGTTTGCCCGACATGCTCAGAGCACTTAGGATTTCCAAAGCTTCAGAAGTGGCGCTAAAGGCATGCCGACTTTTCCGATGCTCTTCATGTCCACGACTTTTGGAGCCAAAAATACCACGGCCTTCGAGGCTACCTCAGGTTGATGAGTTCAACGTGGTAGTTGGCTTAGATGTTTTCAGTGAAAAAGACGCCAGCGGTGGCGAATGGACATGGCTCAATGTCGTTGACGAGGGCACTGGTTTTCAGGTTTGCACTTTGCTGGGTGAAACTTTCAGAAACCCGACGAGCCAAGAAGTTTTGCAAGCTTTTGAAGTCGGTTGGTGCAATTGGGCAGGAATGCCTGAGAGAGGTCTAGTGCTTGATAGGGCAAAGTACTTTTTAGGCACGTTGGCAGCGCGAATGTCCGAAGAAGGTTGTGTGGTGGATTTTGCAAGCAAGGCATCGCCGTGGCAGATAGCTTATGTGGAAAGAGCAGGAGGCACTTGGAAGACCACTTTCAGACGTTTAGTCTGGGCAGAACAAGTTTCCGGAAGAGAAGATGTTTTGGTGGCGACAGGTGCCATCAATGCAGCTAGAAACAATCTAGCACGTAGAAGTGGTTTCTCACCGGCACAATGGGTGCTGGGAAGGAGTGTGAGGCTCCCAGCAGATCTCACAGATGAGGCAGAAATTTCACGCATTGGTGCTCAAAGTATGGCTGCAACTCCAACCACGAAGTTTTTCCGCAAGACACAGCTCAGAATGAGCGCCAGGGAAGCTTTTGTCCGCACAGCCAATGATGCAGCTCTTCGACGTGCAGAATTGCGTCGTGTGCGGCCCACCAGAGGGCCTTTCAGAGTTGGCGACTATGTTTTCTACTATGATGAAGCTGACAACACTCCAGGTCCCAATCACTGGCGTGGTGTCGCCAGGGTCATTGGCCATGAAGGAAGTCGGACAGTTTGGATATCTCACAGGGGAATTTTAGTTGCAGCGTCACCTGAGCATTTGGCACATGCCAATGAAGATGAAATTAGAGGCTGGATGGTCACTGCAAATGAGACGTCACTTCTTGACGCAATGCCTGCAGCAGGGGGTACTGGCTTTCTTGATTTGAGATCCAGACCAACTCCTCCTCTTGAAGGTTTTCCAGAAGCCATCGAAGATGCAGAGCAAGCGGATTTGCCAGAAGTTCCGAGGGATGAAGAACAACAGCAGGAGCAAGATGGCAACCCACCGCTAGGTGATGTCCAGCAGCCGCCAGCATCAGAAGATGATCTTTCAGCAAGCTCAACTTCAGCAGCACGGTTGCAGCTTGAGTCTGAAAGAGAGCAGCGAAAAGAGAGAAGGAAGTTTGATTTCTTTGAGCAGCAGCAGCGGAGGAGGCAACAAGACAGAGAAAGCAAGAAAGCAAGGTTAGAGACCATCCCGGATGTGACCTTGCGTGAGGCCTTTGAAGTTCCGGTTGGCCCTGACTTTGACCCAGAGTTGGATGATTTTCACCAAGCAGTTCCCGCAGAAACTCCACCTCCAATCATGGAAGCAGATGATGTGGATGAAGCACAGGAAAGAGCAGCGAAACGACTGCGACTTGGAGAAGCCTTGACGCCGTCTGACGCAAACAGTTCCTTTTGTTTTCTGGCTTTGGTGGAGGATGATTTCTTAGAGGAACAGTCAAAGGCTTGTTATCAGGCAAGGGCTAACACTTTTGAGGCGCTTGGTGTTGATGAAGAGACCTTCCTTTTTGGAGCACAACGTAATGACTTCTACGACCAATACATGCAGTTGTTGGAAAGTTCACTTTCGTCTCAAAGCCAAGACGATGCTCCTCCACTTGTGAAGAAGAAGGCACGCAAGGAGCTATATCTCAAAGATTTGGACCGAGAAACACGTGTTTTGTTCGACGGTCCGGAAGGATCAGATGCCAAAGAATGGCGAGCATGGCTTGAGAAAGGTGCAGTAGAAGTTCTTCCTCTTGAAGAAAGCAGAAAAGTGCTCCGAGACAAGCAGCATTGTCTCATACCAACAAGGTGGGTGAGAACCAACAAGTCAGATGGGAAGCCAGATGAACCTTTCTTCCCGAAGTCCCGTTTAGTTGTGCAAGGTTTCAAAGACCGTTCACTTGGTCAATTTCGGCGTGATGCACCCACAGGTTCAGCTCTAGCAGAAGCTATCGTTTTGTCTCTCTCAGCAGCTTTTGGTTTCAAAATGGTTTGCAAAGACATCAAGAATGCATACTTTTCTGGCAAAGAGATAGGCAGAGAACTATATCTACTTCCTCCTAAAGGTGGTTTACCAGGAGTTTTGCCAGGACAGGTCATGAGAGCCAGGAAGGCAATCTACGGGTTTGCCGAAGCAGCCAGGCTTTTCTGGCTGGCGCTTCGTGAACACTTGCAGAGTGATGGCTGGTGCGAATCCAGACTGGAGCCAGCTTTGTTTTACCTGCGAGATTCTTCATTGAAGTTGCGCGGCATCCTTGTGACACACGTGGATGATATCCAGGCTGGGGTTGACGCCGCCTACCTGGAGTCTGCCTTTCAGAAGAGTTCTCTGGCTTTGGAGTTTGCAACCAATCATTTCGACAGCTATACTTTTCGTGGCCGTGAGATCAAACAAGTTGCAGGAGGTCACATAGACGTCACCATGAGCAACTATGTCAGAAGCATGCGGCCTGTGAAGATCGACAGAGAAAGAAGAAAGCATTTGGAAGCCAGGCTGACCGCTGAGGAGAAAGAGACGATGCAGTCTTCTTGTGGCGAACTGGGATGGGTTGCAAGACAGCTCAGAAGTGATTTGGCCTTCGAGAACGGATGTCTTCAGAGAAGCAAGTCTGACCCATGTGTTGCAGATTTGGTGAGGTTGAGAATGGCAGTCAGCAGTGCACGGCGAGCAGCCGATTTTCGACAGCGTTTCTGGTCAGATGTTGATCCATACAAGGCGGTGGTAGTTCATTTAGCAGATAGTGGACATGCCAATGGAACCCCTGAGAATGACGACATCATGAAGTACAGATCAGTTGGAGGATATTTCCTTTTGCTGGCAAACCCCGGTGTTTCAGAAGGACAGGAAGTCCGGGCCAACGTTCTGGCTTACCAATCATCTCAGACGAAACGTGTTTGCAGAAGTACTTTAGCTGCTGAAGCAGCACATCTGGCAGAGGCAGTCGAAGCAGGTGACTGGCTCATTGTTGTTTTAGCAGAAGCGCTTTACGGCAAGATCAACCTCAAGGACTGGGACAAAATTGTGGAAGAAAGACCGCGCATCTACGTAACAGATGCCAGAAGCGTGTTTGATTACTTGGGCAAAGACTCCACTAGCACAAGCAGTGATCGTCGCATGGCTCTGGAAGGCGCTTTGCTGAGAGAGACAGTGCGCCGCAGAAATGCTGCAGTTAGATGGATAGATGGTGAACAGAACATGGCAAACATTTTGACTAAGGCAAAAGCTGACATGAATGTCCTTTTTGAATTCTTGCGAGATGGGAAGATTTGTCTCGTCCAGACAGAGGCAAACAAGCAGATCAAGGAAAAGAAGAGGGCACAGCGGCAGAACCGTCGAAAGGTTTTGAAGGAAGATCCGATGAAGCAGAAGATCAAGGATGATCGAATCAAAAGACTGGCGAGAGAGGTACAAGACATGAAGCACAGTTCAGAATCCGATTCAAAGTCAACAAAATAAAAACAAGGAGTGTGAGATTTTCCTTCGTCCAACGGCCGCTGCATCAGGTAGCTTGACTTTGTCTTTATCTTTGACTTTGACGCCATTTGTTTCTTCAGCTGGCCCGAACTCAGATGGCCTTAGTGGCCCAGGTGTTTTCAGGTCTGCTGCGGCAGATGACACGCACAAATCATAGAAGTCCAGCAGAGGTTGGATGACACGCCACAAATAGAGAAGTGCACCAGTTGGCAAGAGTGACAAGCACAAATCAGAGAAGTGTACACATAACAGTAAGACAGCTGAATTCATTTGTTTCATTTTACTTTCGTCCCTGCGGTGAAAAGAGCTCAGTGCGTTACCAGTGCATTTCGCATATATGTATAATATATATATGTATAATATATATATATGTATAATATATATATATGTATAATATATATATATCCCCCTACATGTGTTGTTCACCGCCACATGTGTTGTTCACCACCCCAGCCTGGTGTTGCTTCAAACATCTCAGCAGCTTCGGCACCTCCGTTGCCGAACACACCAAGCTGGGTCCCTCCGCCGCCAGCAGCGCGCCGAAGAGCTCCGCCACGTGATCCACGAAGACCAGCGGCGTCCGCGCCAGCGCTACATCGGTCGAAGTCCAGGGGTAGCAATGCCATTGCCATTGGAGCCGGTTCAACGTGGCGGATTTCAAGCCCTTAACGCCCTGTGGTTGGTGGGATCGTTTGGGCATGGAGAAAATGGCGAAAACCAAGGGGAAGCCATGGTGAAACTATGTGAAACTGGTGAAAATGAACATTGGGATGTTAACAAAAAGGAAAAATGCAAACAAGACTTGGAATTTGGTTGAGCAAAGACCTACTTTCTTGAACAAATGGTGTAAGCCAATGACAATGGGGTGATAAGACCTACAGGTGGTGGATTTTCCCAGAAAGCATTGCCGCCGATCTAATCATCCATCATTGGGGTTGCATCACAACTGCATATCTAAGAAAAAATGGACAGCCCGAGCAGTTTTGTCTGGTTTTAAAAAAACTATCTCCAATGAAATCATCTTAGTCTCCCTCAAAATCCACTCCCAATTTCCCCAGAAATTCACTATTAATGTATGATAATATGTGTGTGTATATATATATAGGGATGTAAATATGGATTAATAATGATTTATCCCATCATTTTCCCCACATTTCTGCTTTTCGCCTTGGGTCGCCCGGTGGATCCCGAGGTAAACATCACGTACAGCAGCTCCGTCGTCGCCGGCGCCGGCGTTGACACCGGCGGCAGCGGGAGCTGCTGGAAGTCGAAGTCACTATCCAAGTCCAGCAGCTGGTCCTTTCTCCCACGCCAGGCCTTTAGCACCTGGAGATTTTTGGGTGATTCTTTTGGTGATTTTTTTGAGGATTTTATGGTATTTAATGGGATTTAATGGTATTTAATGGGATCTAATGCGATTTTTGGGGGGATTTGATGGGATTTTTAATGGGATTGAATGTGATTGAATTTAATGGGATGTAATAGGATTATATGGTATATTGAATGGGGAGGTAATTTTGAGGACAGTGGTTTCTGAATGTCAGAAAGTGCATATGAAACCATTGGGAAGATGGATACAACCATCGCGAAACTTTCAACGCTCCCAAATCTGAGGAGAAGGTTGGAACTCCGCTATCTTACCACCTGGTGCATGGTGAAAAATTGCCTTTCCTCTTGGTGAAACCTCCAAACCTCTTGGTGTTATACATGTATATTGACCTATACCCATCATGGTGCCCCATAGTTAGCTAAGTTGGTTTATAACTCCCATAACTATGGTTTATGGGAGATAACGAACTAGTTAATGGGGTTTATAAACCAACTTATAACTGGGGGGCACCATCCTGTACCCATCATTGCTGCTGAATCTGACCCTTTCTGTCGGCTAAAAGCCCAACATACTGGTCTCTTGCGGCCACATATAGATATCTGAGAATGTTGTGAGCCCTATCATAAACCATCGACTGGGGACAGTTTATACCAGCCATTTCTGCTGAAAATGGGATTGTTCATTATTGGGCTAAAACTACCCACTATCTCTGGTTGAAATCTTCAACTATTTAACCCCCCCGATCTATCACTTAAGTGCAAACGCCCAATGGGAAATCCCCTGTAGATGAAGATTTTCACGGGACCTGGTCATCTACAAATTTGAGGGATTGTGAAAATTGCCATGTTTGATTTCCAGAGGGTATCCCATTCAATTCAATATAGTCCAATTAAATCCCATTAAATCCCATTAAATCCCACTAAAAAAACCATTAAATCCCATTAATTCCTGTTAAATCCCATTAAATCCTGTTAAATCCCACTAAAAAATGGGATTTAAATCCCATTAAATACCCCTCCCAAATGCATCCATTTTTTCCACACCTGTTCCACTGTATCTCGGCCGCAGAGCACCCCAGAGATCTTCGCCAGCGACATCAGAAAGGCCAAACGCTCAGAGGATGTGCCCAGACCCCAGGAATCCATGGGGTGCAGTGGAACATAGGGACCTTATGGAAATGGCGTAAATGGCGGGCCCCCCAGTGATGTGAACGTTGGTTTAGATTCACCCCATGAATACTATAGTTATTTGCGTACCATAAACCATAGTTATTGGAGTTATAAACCAACTTAGCTATCTTGGGGGCCCCACATTGTATGGAAATGGCGTTTGTTGTTTTTTTTACCACTGGAAATGGGTATGAAATTATATTTATAATCATTGAAATGAATGGGGATTTAGGCCATTAATTCAAGTCACACTGCAGGTATCATTCTAGCAAACACTTGGGATGTTATATAAAACCGCTACCCCATTTCAGATGCAATGGCTAATGGGGAAAAAACATGACCTTCGGCCACACATCCGAATACAAACCTTTGCCATATTGGTTTCATCATATCCCATGGATCAAAACTCTCAACTACCCTGGCTACCAAGATTGCAACCGTATTATCGCATTGTCATCCCATTATGATTCCCCTATCATCGTGCTATTATCATTTACTTTCCATCATATTACTGACTAGTTACAGCATTATTGTCATCCCTATGATGATATAAAATACAAGTTCCGTGTCTATCATATCAGTGTCATCAATATTATCATCATCACCATCATCAATATCACTATGTTGTTACTATTAAAATATCGTCACACATCACGTTATGATGGGATGATTATGCCATGATTATCATCTCTATAATTATGCACAATGCAATTGGTGTTGTCATCACATCATTCTTATCAACATCATTGCTCTCATCCCCTATGGGAGAATACCAACAAAACCACCACCTAAAACCATCATTGTTTAATCGATGTGACGTATATCATAATGGGATGATACCAAAAACCATCCTCCATATAACATCCACATAACATCCACATAACATCTCGAATTTTGTTTTTTTTTAAAAAAAAACATTGTTTCCATGATTTTCCAAGCCACGTTCCATCCGCAACGCCGCCAGTAGGGCCACCACGGCCGACAGCGACGGGCGCTGGAAGCAGATCCCCAGCTGGTCGTCGATGGTCCACGGCTGCAGGCGATGGCAAAGCTGCAAGACACGCTGGAGCAGCTCGTGGCAGGTGAAAACACCTGTGAGGGGCCCCAAAAAATCCACAGAAACTGGAAAATGGTGAGTTCACGAAGAAATGGAAGGATTTCAGGGGATTTAGAGCTGATTTTGTGATTATAGCTAAGTTGATGTATTCCATAGTTTAAAAGTTTATGGATGTTTATGGTGGATATATTGAACTAGTTAATGGATGTTAATGGGGTTTTAAAATTCCAACTTATAACTGGCGCCTCACCTTGCGGCTTTTTGTGTCATGTCATGGCAGATGGGACCTCCAAAATACAGGAATACGGATGGTAATCCATAGAAATCTATGGGAGGACAAGACCCAAAAACCCATTTGTTTCTGGGAAATGATCAAACCCAAGTGGGCCATTCTATCATGGAAACAACCTGAGGATTTTTCCCACTTAAAACACCTGGAAGTTCAGCATCTACGAGTGCTGGGGAAGCTGGGGAAGCATTGCAACGATCTAGGAAGAGCTGCCACATGGCGAAGCGGCAAAGCTTGAGCCAAAACAGGCCAGTGATGCAAACCTCCCACTGACATAGATCCCCAAGCATCAACAATGATTGGTACCATGAAATACCATGATCATCCATCCAACCATAACCATCAATGAAATGCCCAAACTTCTCAATCAACAAACCATCATCCATCCAACCATCAAATCAGAGGTCCTTGCTTTGTCCAAGTTGGATCGATCCCAACTCCACCGTTCCCTTCCTTTCGCCATAGCCCAGCGCCCGGCAGCTCGTGCAGCTCGTGCAGCTCGTCCCCTCCGTCGTCAGCGTCAGCTGGGCGTTGCGCCCCAGCGCCGTCACCGCGGTGCCGGTGCAGTTCACGAGAGCGGTGCCAACGAAGCCGGCGTCAGGGATGAAGACGTAGATGCCACCAGCTGCCTGGGAAATAAGTGGTGGAAATGGGCTTCAAACCAGAAATGGATGGGTTTTTAACATGGTGTAGGCGACAAAAATGGTGTGTTGAACTGGTTAACCAATAAAGAGTTGGGGTTCAATAATCAACGAAAGTAAGATTAAGAATGGGGTGGATGAGTAGACATGGTTTTGCACCAAGAAAACTAAGATAAACATGGGGGCTACCAACTAATAGTGATGAGGGATTCATAACCATCATCAATTGGGGAGATAAAACGGGTAACCTGTAGCCAACCCAAAATCTGGACATGTTGAGCCACACATGAAGGGATGTGTAAGAAAAAATGGCGAAGTGATTGCAGTGGGGATAAAATGCAAGACTTGTGGAACCTTAATCAACAAAAAATGATTCTGTAACCAACAGAATTTGGGAATACCCTCTGGTAATTTGTTACATAGCTATTGAAAATTGCCCTTTATAGTTGATTTTACCAGCTATAAAATGGTGATGTTCCATAGTTTTTTGTATGTTTACCAGAGGGGAACAACTGTTCAAAACAGATTTGGCTCGGGATTTTCTTCAGCTATGGGCAACATGATCTCCACCATCCGCCTGAGACAACTGGTCCAGCAACTGGGAATCCAAGTCATAGCCGAAACCAAAGGTGTGAAGCGTACAGGGCAACTTTCCAGATGCCTCCTGCCATATGGTGAAGGTTGATGTGGTTGATGTGGTTGATGTGGTTGATGTGGTTGATGTGGTTGATGTGGTTGATGTGGTTGATGTGGTTGATGTGGTTGATGTGGTTGGTGAAGTTGGCTGATATTAGACTATCATATCATACTACCTACAAGAATCAACCCATCGGTGAAAAAAAACATAGAAATCCCATCGATTTTTCACCATTTTCCACCATTTTCCACCATTTTCCACCATTTTCCACCATTTTCCACAATTTTCCACCATGTTTCACCATTTTTCACCATTTTTCACCATTTTTCACCATTTTCCCATAGATTTCCCATAGATTTCCACCACTTTTGCCGCGTCTCCTGGTACCTCCGCAGCGCTGCCAGGTGCCCCTCCACTGGCTCCACATTGGGCACGCCGTCCGTCAGCAGCAGCGCCGAGGAGATGCGGCCGCTGGAGGTGGCGGAGCGGAGGAGATCCAGGGCGCTTTCGAGGCCCTGAGGAAGTGTTACCATATATCTATGGAAAACATATGGAATATATATGGTAAATATAAGAGATAATGGTAAATATCCATATAATGATAAATACCATATTTACCATATATTTACCATATCCATTATCTATTATCCATTATCTATTATATATATTTACCATATCTCCCATGTGTCAATAGAAATATTACTATATTAATGGAATGTTTTCCAGATATTTACCAGATATCCATTATCAAATATTAATATAGGAATAATATATGGTAGATATATAGCCATATATATTATAGGAATAACCAGATATATTATAGGAATAGCCATATAAATATCAAGTTTTACCATATATATATATTATAGGAATAACCATATATGGAGATATGGTAAATATATAGCCATTATGATATACTATATGGTAAATATATGTAAATATCCATTATCTATTATATTTACCATATCTCCCATATGTCAATAGAAATATTACTATATTAATGGAATGTTTTCCAGATATTTACCAGATATTTACCATATATCCATTATCAAATATTAATATAGGAATAATATATGGTAGATATATAGCCATATATATTATAGGAATAACCAGATATATTATAGGAATAGCCATATAAATATCAAGTTTTACCATATATATATATATTATAGGAATAACCATATATGGAGATATGGTAAATATATAGCCATTATGATATACTATATGGTAAATATATGTAAATATCCATTATCTATTATATTTACCATATCTCCCATATGTCAATAGAAATATTACTATATTAATGGAATGTTTTCCAGATATTTACCAGATATCCATTATCAAATATTAATGGAAAACATATGGAATATATATGGTAAACACAAGAGATAATGGATAAGATAATAGATAATAGACAATAGAAAATAGATAATAGATAATAGATAATAGATAATGGATAAGACATATGGTAAATATATCAGATAGATAATAGAAATGGATAAATATATGGGAAGATAGTATGGTAGAAATATGGGATGAATTGTACATGAAATAGAGATTAAATAGAAATGGAAAAATATGGGAAACGTATGGGAAAAATATGGGATACATCATAAATATGGAAATGTGGGGATATTTACACGATAAATCCCAGATCCATTTTTTTGAGAAGATATTTCTATGGGAAATGGATAGAAATATGGGATATATGATAGATATATGGGAAGATAACATGGGATCAAATATGGGATAAATGATAAATGTGGGAGAAGTAAGGGATGGATTATAAATATGAGAGAAAATCTGGAAAGATGATGGGATAAGAGGAAGATAGTATGGGAAGATAAGATGGGAGAACTATGGGATATAGGATAAACATATGGGAAAATGATGATAACATCCCCATATGACGACATGATGCTATCCCATTAGTTGGATATCACGTTGATAAGGATAAATGGAACAATTATGGAAAACATCTGGATTTAAACTGGAACAAACGGAACAAATCTGGGATTTGTCCATTTAAGTTGAAAAAATGGAAGATATGTGAAAAAAAATATATGGATAAAATCACACTTTTTTGAATTTCAACCAGTACCATCAGTACCAACCAAAATCTAGCATCATATCAATATATATATATATATCAATATATATATATATATATCAATATCAATATCAATATCAATATCAATATCAACCAAGAATGAGGGGAAATGTGGGATTTCATTGGATTTACCATAGATATACCATAGATATACAACCATAGATTTTCTATCGGATGATGGATCAAACGTGAGAAAAATGGGCGAATCAATTGGACAACTGACAAAGCGAGCTATGATTCCCTCCCTGTATCTATCAAAAAAAACATGGAAAAACAAACAACCTTCCAAAAATCTCGAACATTCATCATTTTTGTTCCCAATTGATGAATGTATCTATCAATTGATCTATCAATCTGCTGATGTATCAATCTTTATCCCCAAAAAACTCCCCAGTTCCAGCCATTCTCCTGCCACAGATTGGTCTGTCCATCCGCTCTCAGCGTCTGCAACGCCGCTTCGGCCGCAGCTTTCCCCGCAGCGTCCATGGCGGTCAAGGCCAGTTTCACCTCAGCAGCATCGGAGTAGGTCACGATGCCCAGCTGGTCCTCCGATGTGTCAAAAATGGGATCATCCTACAATCTTTTTAAAGGGATAGAAATACATCATGGAAGAAAAAAAAATGTTGAAACCAGGTCTGGTTGGTGTTTTCAATGGATTTCAATGGATTTCAATGGATTTGTTGAAGGGAGTGGTTGACAAATATATCATGGTTTTGCCATAAAAATCATAAAATTCCATCAAGTGTGTCCTGCAAAGTGTCGTTTGACCCAATTCTGTGATAGTCACTCCAGACCCAAAACCATGAAAGGCAATGGAGATCACAATCCCAGTTTGGCTCATGGACAAGAAACAATCTCTGAAACCAGCATCTAGTGACATTTCTCCCAACATCCTCAGTGAGTTTATGGTCAATTTGTCGGAGACCCTTGTCAAGTGTCCTCTGCAGATAAGCTATGGATCACGGTGCGACAGCTATGCACAACGATATCCAAAATACTCAGTTCACTCGCTTCTTGATCTTTCAACACCGCCGGCAGCTGCATGGAACCAGAGACATCGATGACCAAACAGAGATTCGCGGGAAAACCTGAGGGTTGCTTCAGGGCTCCGGTCAGTCATAGATATTTCAAGATGTATTTCCTACATAACCTATATACATTCCCCAACTGGATGATGTCCAAAATCAACGGAAAGTCAGACTCTGCGAACCAGCGAAACGTTGTTCTGCATCGACTGCAATGGATGCATAGACTTTCACCTCATTCTCCTGGACTTGATAGGCCCTCGCCCTGAGTTCCATCACATGACGACTCCGCTGTTACCGAAGTTGCTGGATGCGCAGCTGGCTCAACTGAGTAACTGGTAATGGTTGATTTTTGTACAGGTCACTTGTTGGGAGCATTTTTTTGTTGGTACAATCTGCATTGACGATATTAGTTCGCAAAGATCTAAAATTTAGCCTCATAGCATGGGATCTTGTCCACGTTCACCCGCACGTTCACCCGCACTCGTTTGTTCAAAGGTCAACGAAAATGCCAACACCTTTGTGTTTGTTCCTACCTGGAGAGAATCAGCTGCAAATGTCCAACACAGCAACGTCAGAAGCACACATGAATTCTGTCAATCGGACAGCTATGAATTGGCGAATTGGGCAGCAGGATATGCGGGATATTTACATGAGCTGATGATCTTGAGACTTTTCAAACACTTTTCATCCAGGGTTTTCACGATCTATGGCATTGAATGGGATTTGAATGGGATTTCTATGGGATATCAAAAACAACCATGTGATGTTTCATTGAAGATTTGTATGGGATTTAACTGATTTAACTAGGAAGAAGAGTGATTTGTTCATGGGATGACTAGCCAAAGGATTTAGCCAAAAATGGTAACTTCATGGAATTTAATAAGGATATCCAGAGGGTATTTTTTTCCCATGAATATCCCCATAGTATGTTTACCATTCCCAAATGGATGGTTTACTAAAGTTTACTATGGTTAAATTTCCAGAGGTGTTTGGACACATCATGACCATCTGCACGTAATTCCACCTTTTCGCCCGAGGGTCTCGCATTCGATGCTAGCTATGCAAGTGACCCAGTCAACTTGCCGATTCATGTTATGCACAAGAGCAACCAGCAGCCACAGCAACAATGCCAGAGAAAGTCCACTTGGAGGTTGCAGATTAGAGTGGATACCAAGTATGGTCAATTGGATCTACCCCGAAAGTTACATAAACCTAATATCCCACAATTGGATCTCCCAATCTACCCGAATGGAAAACCAGCTGTGTTGGAGGGGTTCTCCATGGTTCCTCCGAACACTGAGCCATCTGCTGATCGCCAGGAAGTGCCTTTGGCAGTTCCCTCAGGTGGCTGTGAGCCACACCATATTCGACTTGGCCTTGAAGCCAAACGCCTCGGAGCAGGAGCTGCTTGAACCGACCAATAGACCAAATAGTATCCCCGGAGAATTCGCAAAAAAAGGTCACAAGATGGCAGTCAAAACCCTAAAATGGTAACCTCAAAAATAGCTGGTTTATGAATGTTTATCCCCTCAAAATATGGTACCAATAATTCAATAGGTTTCGACCCATCCCAAGATCTCCAGTTGATCAGTTCCTGAGAAGCTGGCAGTGCCCCAGTGCGTGACGCATCTACAACCTGCCGCTAGGTGAGCCAGGTGGGTACCAGAAACATGCTGGTCACTTGGGGCAAACTGGGCAAATAACACCAATGACATATTTAAGTTGGATCAAAAATATGGGGATGTTAATATCTTTATTGGATTGAAACATCGTAAAACATCATCAATTTTTGCAAGGTGATGTTATTGTGAATGAAAAATAACCTAACCAGCCAAAAAAACACTGATCAAAGCCGACTTTGAGTGGCTGAGATGCACGCCAAGATGTTCTGGATTCTTGTTGCAAACCTCATCCTCAAAGCGTATCCAACGGCAACCTTGGGCCAAGCTCGAAAGAACCAGTGGCTGTGTACGAAAATGGGGTAGCCATGGGTACCCTATTTTCAGACCCAAAATATTGCAGCTGCACTGCCACTCTGAGATTCGTACGCTTGGCCACACGCTCAAAGATCCAGGCCTGGTCCCGCCATGGGGGATGTAGGGGACGAAATCCGCATCGGGACCATAAAAGGGCATGTTGAATATGGGATAATATCGGATGGGGTTATATGTATATATATATATATGATTACATTATATCATGTTATACCCCCATGAACTATCAGGAACTCTCTCATCATGGTTGGTTTGAAAAGGGGTAACTGCCGACCTGGCACTCTTCCAGCTCATCGCAACCGCCACAGCAATCCTCAAGCTTTAGCCGGTTTCGCCACATGGAAAATCGAACGGAAATATCACCGCCTTCACCATCACAATGTAATTTTCATAACTTGAAAAAATGTTCAGCAATGTTATTTTCCATGCGAAATGGAACATCATTTGCATATGTTCAATATGTTTTCCATATACCCTCTGGTAAACTAATGTAACTATGGAAAATCACCATGCTTTTATTGGGTAAATCCACTATTTCTATGGCCATGTTCAATAGCTATGTTAGTTTACCAAAGGGTAACTGTATAGATATATCACCTATGCCTATAAACCATAGTGAAATTGGATTACTTCTTATAAAGTGGATTTACCTATCATAGTGAAATTGGATAACCTATTCAATATGTTTTCCATTATAAAATTATAAACATATTAAACATCATTTCCATTGGAAATTACCTACTATGAACATATTATGAACATATTAAACATATTGGATTACCTATTCAATATGGAAATCCATTTCTTAATGGTCATATCCCTCCACAAATGCTGGATTTCCCCATGGAAATCCTCCAGCGTGTTGGCCAGATCCATCTGAAGATCACCGCTTCTTCGATCGAACAAATGCGTCCCGGCCAACTGCCAAGGCACACCTCAGGCGAGGCGCCTTTCTGATATGATATGATGTTTGTATCGTATAATGGTTTCATATAATCCTATACAATGTATATGGTTTCATATATATATAGAACCATAATCCTATACAATGTCTCATATGGTTCTTTTCATGATATGATGGTTTTATATATGACACAGGCATGCATCTATAGATAGTAACAATATATATATATATGTTCATATATGTTCATGCAATTTCATCAAAAGCCATGCAAAGTCAACTGATCATCAAGTGACCACATACCATAAGCGATATAGTACATACCGTTAACACATACTACGAATAGTATCCCATGAACATCCCATAAATTCCATTGAATTCCCAAAAAAAAAACTAAAACTCCATGAAATCCTGGTGAAAACCATGGGGAATTCATGATAAATGCTGGGAAAAATGTTAAAAATGGGAGTTAACCATAGTTCACCCATGTTCACCCGCCATTTTCCATGGTAATTTTCATGGCTAAACGCTACCTCCACTGGGTCTCCCCACAGCTGGTGGTGGAATTCCTGGCCACACCGCAGGACGACGGCGCGGCCGTGGCCGCCTTCTGCGAGGCGGCGACGGCGTGGGCCGCCACGGCGGAGAGCACGGCGGAGGAGATGGCCAGGCACAGGCCGCCCTGGGCAGAGAATCTCTCAGTTTTTATGGTGATGATTGGCTGCCATTCATCATTAAATGCCATATTAACCATTAATAATGGCTGACAATATGGGTTAATCATGGCTGATCATGGTTAATGAATGGTTATTAATGGTGATTCATGGTGATGAATGGCTCATAAAATCACCATTAAAACCATCATTTTAATGGGATTCACCGGCTATGGGAGTTGAATGTGGTTAAAACAATGTCATAAACCAGCCATCTGGGAATGGTAAACATACCACCTATAAAAATGAGGATATTCATGGGAAATACCCTCTGGTAATTTGTTACATAGCTATTGAAACCATGGCCCATAGAAATAGTTGCTTTACCTATTAAAGAGGGTGAATTTCCATATGTTAGTTTACCAGAGGGTAACCAGCTATCATGGGAGTTTAATGGAAGTCTAATGGAAAAAAATAAAATCCCATGAAATCCGATATGAAGGGAATTTACTCGCAAAACTTGGATGTTCATGGGGGTTGTAACCAACAAAATTGGAATTTACCAACCACAATCGACTGTGGATATATTCATAGTATATAATACTTTCATTTGAACATAATCATGGGATATATCAATGGAGGTTGCCTGGTTTGTGGATCAATGGGATATACTGGGGTTATGGGATATATAATGGGATATTGAACTGGCCAACATGGGTGTGGCTTAATATAGGGGTACCTCCAAAGTTGCCACCGTTGAGTTAAACCATTTTAATATTGAAACATTGAAACAACCATGCTTTGGGGGATCACTTTAGGAACTATTTCGGTATTTCACTAAGAATGAGAATTCTGGATGCGACCAAGAATGACACACTCCACCATTTTACCAACAAGAATAGGGATCCAATCAACAAACGTTTGGATTTCATCCACGAGAGGTGGTTAACAGTGGGCCCTCTCCCCATGAAACGCATAGGGGAACTGAGCAAATCAGTAGCTTCAAAAATAAGTTGAGCGACTTCTGCAAGGAATTTTGAACGGATCAAAATGGTTCATCGAATCTGCCTTCCAATCAACTAATTCAGCTACGGAAAATAGGCCATTTATACATGATGTACATCTTAAAGATTCTGACTTTCCAAAAAGCTATGCTAGTTTACTGGAGGGATTTCCCATATCCCCTTGTTGGTTTGTGAATTCCCCGTTAAAATCACCACAAACTCCCATTGAAAATCCCATGAAATCACAATTTTTGTTGGTTAAACAACCCCATCCAAAGCCCACAGGTCACCACAGGTCACCTGTAGGAGAAAACGACGCCCTGCACATCGCTTTCGGGTGACCTGAGTGGTGTTGATACACGACGAATCATCCCAGTCATTAGATCATTTTAGTATTGAACCATCTATCTATCTACCCTCCTCTGGTTATGTCAAAATAGCTATAGAAGCCATGGCCCAGTCGAAATAGTGGATTTACCCATTGAACATTGTGATTTTCCATAGTTATGTTAAATTACCAGAGGGTATCTATCCATCCATCCATCCATCCATCCATCCATCCATCCATCCATCCATCTATCTATCTATCTATCTAATCTATCTATACAGAGAAACCATAGTTTGAAACACTACCCTTCCTCGCCCTTCCCCTATATCAAGCTTCAATCTCAACCCATGCCACCATCAAGGGCCGCACCGGACAGCAGCTATCCGGCAAGCACGCACAGAGGAGGTTTTCATCTGCACTGGCCAACGCCTGATGGAGTGTCCCTCCGGGAAAAGTGAGGAAAAAAAGAGCCGTAGCCATCCCAAAAATCCAAATACATCCCGCAACCAACATAGACCTTGCCAAATAGGCGCCTCCTCCCATGCCAACGAGGCTGTCGACGTGAAGCCCTTCTGTTCCACCTTGGATCTTTGAAGGACCGAGCCTCTGTTATGTTGGCAGACAGAAGCCGAAAAGGTTGGGGTTCCCATATGGGATTATTCCATATTCCCCATCAAAGCAGTTTGTAGAAACCAAGCAATAACGGTCAACCAGCAACCAATCATCATTTATGAGTTATATCTCCCCATTTTTAATTTGATCTCGTTTTTACAGGTTCATCGCCCATAAATTTGGGGATTGTGGAGTCAGATCGAAAGCTCTCACTCGGCTCGTTGGGAGGTGCAGCCTGCGGCGAACGTGCGAACGTGAGTTTCTACCTTTTTTTCTGGGTGCAGAGATAAACAAGCAGGGTGCAATACAACCAACAAAAAAATCGTGGGTACCTCGAAACTGTCCTGATCTCAGTTGTCCTTGTTGGGTATCTCAAGTCTCCTTTTGATAGCCCAGAAAAAGACATAAAATAAACAATCATCGAAAGGACAATTTTGGGGTACCCACTTCAGAGTGGCCCTGCACAGGGCGAAACGAGGCCTTTTTTGGGCGATCTATGGATTAGATGGGATGATACATGGGATAAGCCACCAAAAACGAGGAGTTGGCATGATTTGGCCAACCTTTTCTTCTGACCCACAAGATATAAATTGCCCCAAGGGGTGTTCATCCAACATCACCCAGCTAGTTTTGCCTAGGATTGGGCTTCCGGCAGCGCGCTTTTGACAATCCACTGCGGCAGTTGAACAACAACTTGTAACTGAACAGCACCACAGCCTCTGCCATAGGCGGCTTTGCCGGCCAGGTCAACGAGGATCAAAGTGATAAAAAAGGCACATCTGTGGCTTGATCGGAAGAGTCTCAGGCTACGAAATGGAAGGTTTTTTGATTGAAATATTCACCATCATTCATCCAAATCATTAGGCAGTAAAAAACCAACCATCGCCATGTTTGGTTGTTTTACTGGAAAATAACATGTAGATATCCACCATATTTCACCAAGTTTCACCATATTTCACCATAAATCATGGATAAATTGGCCAATCCTCAACCCATCACGGCTGGGTTCCAGCCGACGATGGTGTCGCCGTTGCCTCGAAGCTGGGGTTCTGAGTCAAGCGCTTCAGAGACCGCGCTGGGCTGAAGCCCTCAGGGTTGCACGAGCCGCGCCTGTGGCGGGGGCTGGGGCACAAGGGTTTCACCAGCACTTCATGGCAATTCTCATAGAAAAAATAGATAATGTGGGTGAAACAATAAACCACCCATTCGCAAGGCAGGGCCCTTAAGCAGCTCTGCAAATATCAAATCTGCTCAACTCATTTGGGAATGGTAGACATACCAGCTATTTATGGTGATTGGGATGGTTTATTACTGTTTTACCCACATTAAAATATTAAAAACTACCCATTTATAGTAAGTTTGATGATGAACAGCCTGGTGTTTCTGTGGGAAATATGATGAAATATGGTTTGTTGAACATTGGTGTGATGGACTTGGGAGTGGTGCGGCGTTCTGGAACCCGGGAACCTGCTGTTGGGTCGCAAAGCTAGGTTAATGTAATTAAACATATTACGAACTATGTTTTTTAACATCAAACCATCACATACAACAAATGTCCCCCTCATTTAGAGGCAGAACATCAAGCAAAAGTCACCCAAAACTCCCCAGAAACCCACCCAAGAAAAATGTCAATCGTGAAGAACAAATATGAAATTACTCCCCAGGTTCTCCCTTTACCCATTTCGGAGTTAGGTGAGGAAGTCCTCCAGTCCGGTGTAGAAGTTCAGTAACTAACCACCCAATGTCACCAGCAGGGCCTCAACCATTCATCCACAGTTTGCTGAGTGAGGAGCCCACGTTTGGTGACATCCAACTCACTGAAGTTCGCCATAATTTGTTTAATTTCGTCCAAGGACACCGACTCGTTCTGCGTCAGGATGAAACAAAGAAATTCGTAGGGCGTAACCTCCTCCCGAAGACTCTCCTGGATAAAACAGTATGAATCGGATGAACTCTTGAGCAATGGACACCAAAATCATCCATCCAAACGATCGGTCATTTTGAATAGGGAAGTTGCAGAAACCAATTATTCTTGGGGGTCCACCATTTTGGTAAACTCCCAAATGTGGGATGTTGTTACATGTGGCGGTGAGTATAGACGATGCCTGAGAGTTCCTTGGGCATGGGTCTTCACTCAATTTTTGGGACCTGAAGGAAAACACACTGCTGGGTCATGGTCCAACTCAATCCTTAAACGCGGCATCTGGGGATGACCATAAATAATGCAATCACATGTAATCACAACAGATTTATTGATGGTTCTACTCCAAAAACAGATCGCTCAACCTTGGCTCTCTCCTGTGGTTTGGAGTTATATCCTCCAGCTCTCCAGAGTTTATCCGTGAAGTCGATGATCTGCTCGAATTTCTCATTGGTTAAGCCCCCCACCACTGCAGGCAGCCGTCCATCGTATGACTTGGCTCGGCCATAGGCGATCTCCACCATGCGCGCCAGCATCAAGGCGAACAATGGCACACCCAGCAGCACCATGAGTCCCACGGCAAAGCGACTACCACGTTCCTTCCCTGGGGTCAGATCCCCGTATCCTTAGTATTTGGTGGGGCCATTTAACCAAATTAACCTATTCCCCTGTAGTTTCCCCAAATGGTGAATCAACCAATTTCGAAAATCGAAAAATACAAAATCCATCAAACTCCAAGTATCCAATGGTTGACAAAGTCACCACACTGAAATATAAGGCATCCACCCAGCCATGACACTTCCGGACCATTGCCTTGGCCACCACTGAGCAGATCAGCAGCAGCCCCAGCAGGCCACAGATCCACCCAGCGGTGCGGCGGCGCCAACGCCGCCGCCGGGCGCCATGGTCGAAGACGCCTACGCGCGCCTGTTGCAGCTGGAAGGCCTTCCGAGCGCGTTCGTTGCGCAGTTCCAAAGCCACCAGTGTTTCAAGGAACTCACCTGGGAATAGGTGACTGTTGGGGTGTAAAGTGGCAGGTGTTTTGGGGGGTCGGGTGAAAATTCATGGCATGTCGTTCTAAACTGCCATAAAATGTCAAAGAATTGGGGAGACATGGGAATATATGTGTATGTATGTATGTCTGTCTGTCTGTCTGTCTGTCTGTATGCATGCATGCATGCATGCATGTGTGTATGTGTGTATGTGTGTATGTGTGTATGTGTGTATGTGTGTATGTGTGTATGTGTGTATGTATGTATGTATGTGTGTATGTGTGTACGTATGTGCGTATGTGCGTATGTACGTATGTACGTATGTACGTATGTACGTATGTGTGTATGTGTGTATGTGTGTATGTATGTATGTATGTATGTATGTGTATATATTTATATTTTTTTTTATTTGACAAAAATACAACTCTCGTGTAGTATTGTTTATGCCTCGCTAGTCTGATTGGTTGTATCCCCGAGCTTCTTGGCCCATGACTCAATGATAAAATCAACAACAATATGGATAGGCCTGAAATATATCTGTATAATATATATATACATATATATATACACATCTATGTTGTTAACCACCAAACAAGTTACTGACCTCTTCCACCGAATCAAGTTATTAAAACCAACAAACAGACATGATTGTCAAGCCAATATCAACCACTTCCTAACAGTCTGACTGGTTGATGTTGAAAATACCATGTTGCTATCATCAAGTCGCAAAGATCATTGTGTCCAGTGCTCATTAAGCCACATGCGCCCGAGAAGATTATTTTGAAGATCGAGGTGGCCAATTTCTTGATTTGCGCTCCTTTTCCCAGTTTATGAATTTGGGAAATTCGTGGGAACGGCGGTAAGCATATGGAATTAAACATCAGGCAGAAAAACGTTTGCCCGGTGACCCCAACAACAATCTGTAGCTTACTTGTGGAAAAAACGCGGACAACCCCAGCAAAAACCATCTAGAGTCCGGACATTGATTCCAAAAAACGTGCAGCCAGGAACCGTGGCAGTTGGAATATTTAAGCATTGTGCCCCAAAAAACTACCAGCGACAAATCCGAGAATCTGTCACGTTTATGACAAAGCTACGCGCGGCTCCAAGAATCTGTTGGAAAGCGCTGAATACTCTTGACGAAATTTGCGACATATATTGCGGCACACTTCAGGTTCAGTGTCTCTTCTGACAGAAGACTATCTCTGACTGCCAGTTTCTGACGTATGTATCCTGACATATTTCAGGAGATGGATGCTTACAGTTTCTTTGGCGCGAATTTCGGCCTCTATCTTGAAATATATCCTAACACGTTTTCTGCATATATTCTGACAATTTTCAAACGTCTTCCGTCACTTTTTCTGACATATATACGTTATCATTGTCACAAAATTCAATCGTCTTCCGCAATCTTGCTGACATGTATTCTGAAAAGTCGCACCGTCTAGTCTAGACCACCAGCACAACCTGTCCTTCAGGAAGGCTAGTAGCGGGCGCATTAAGCCCCTTTTAGGGGCCGCAGCCGCAGCTACTAGCCCCAAGGAGCCCCCCCGTGCCTCGCAAACAGCGACGGCACGGGGGCAAAGCAGGTGTTGGTCGTACACCACGACCACCTGCGGGTCGAAGGAGTTCAAGGCATTTGCCAAGAACTCCTTCGACAGGCCTCGGAAACGATGTTGCTCCAATCAGTGAATGTATATACACATATATGTACATAAACATATATATATATACATATTTAGTCGCAGATGCAAAAAAAATCTGGGTGCACTAAAGCAAGGCTACGTTTGGCTACATCCTCATCATCATCATCATCATCAGCATCATCATTTGTCATCATGCTTAGATGGCTTCCCCGCTGAAAATATGAACTTTCCAGCCATCCCATTTTGAAAGAAGCGAAGCGCCAAAAATATTTACGACCTGCCATCATTCTTTTCATTGGCTATAGTTTCCCTCTCGTTTTCGATGCTTGGCTCTCCATCCTTTCATCCTGCAACCGGGGCATGAAGGGCTCCTGGTTGCGTTGCGTTCATGTGAATTTTGTGCAAGATAAACGGCACGCAGCTACTTGTACAACAAATGGGATCAACAATAGGGATTTGAACGTGGATTTTTTATGGGTATTAAAAGGTTGATCAAACCCTCTTGGAAATAGGATATCATGGGTGTCATATGAGCCATGTTCTAAATGTCTTACATCCTGGCACCAAATAAGGAAATGCTTACGCCAGTGCTTACGTTTTGCTTACGCGCGCACAAGTTTTGCTTACGCGCATATCTTGTCTTACGCGGATCTTACGCTGGCTTACGCGCACCACAGCTTTGCTTACGCCACACCCTTACAAGGGGCCCCTTGCTTAACATGAACACAAGGGTTTAGAACGTAGCTCATATGGTTTTTCCAACAAAATTAGAAATTAACCATCAAACACGCAGGCTCAACCATCAGCAATAGGGAATTGTCCCATGTTGCTTCTTGAATGCAAACATACTGTCACAGTACGCAAGCAAAAGTGCCCCGCCATGCAATGTGAGAAGTTCAGGCCAAGACGGCTTCCGCAGGTTAGAAGTCCTGAGCAATTGCGTTGGATTGCTGTGGTTTGACTGCTTGATCGTTGTCTGACGAAGGACTGCTTCAGCCCTGGCAGAAGATTGCGGCAGATTGTGACAACAAAAACGCACAACACAGAGAGCCAGCGAACCTGTTTCACAGGAACACCGGAAGTGGTTGCTTCAGGAGGCCTCCTATACATTGGAGTCAGCGAACCTTTTTTCACAGGAACGCCGGAGGTGGTTTCTTCAGGAGGCCTCCTACATTTAACCTATTGTAGGACTTTGCCCTTCTCTGCGCCGCTGCTTTAGCCTCGCTCTCTGCCGCAGATGAAGCCTCAGTTCAAGGTCAGCATCCTATTCTGCATGCCAAAATGCGCAGATAGGACGAGGTAGCACCTGCTGCGGTAGTGAAGTTGAAGAGGATGCCTCTGAGTGCAGCCATCGCTTGAGTGCTGATCTTGTTGATCTTGTGCAACTATGTTTTGCACAATGCATTCAGCTGTGGTTGCTACGAATTGTGTTTCTACTGTGTCAGAAACTGACTGCTTTACCATTAGCATACACGAAGCACTACTGCATAGCCAGGAACGCTTGACCGACCGCCGTGTGCGCGGCGAGGAAAAATATCATCTCTTGCATCAACGTCCGTCGGCGCCTTCAAACACAATCGGACGACCAATGTTCTTGCTATGTTTCTTGCTTCCCACCTCCATAGAGAAACAAGTGTAACAAAGTAAGCGAACAAATTATTCGAAACTTATTGTTATATACTGTTGTAGATGTTACTATAACGAAGCCTATAGGCAATTTTAGCGCAGTTCTGGGATTGCTCAAAGGCGAGAGAAGTTCTTGGAAAAGTTGTTTTGATCTTCATTGTAAAACACTCTGAGTGGCATCCAAAATTCGGAACGCCAAAAAATCATTCAACAATAGACCCCAGCAGTGAATTCCATCAATCCAAGTCGAAATTCAAAACAATGCCAAACTGATTCACCTTTGGCGGGAAAACCAAACTTCAGCTGACAGCCTCATCTCTTGCACCACCCATGCCGCTTAAAAGGTCGCTTCATGAAAAGATTACGAAAAAAAAACGTGATATAAAATAGGAAATCCTTTGAGATGCAATTCCATGCTTGTCTTTTTGCCATATTTAACCCAGGACAAGTTCATCAGGGTTTGTCTTGATTTTTTTTAACCCCATTCGTCAATTCCATGGTATTTCCTGGAATACAATATATCCAATGGTGACATAATGCCACTATAAAACCCTTTACGTTTCACATGTCGTAGATATATCATTGTTTTCAGACACAACGAAATACCATATTGCTGGTTGTAACCTATCCCGATGTATCTCATGAAATTTACACCAAAAAATCTGCTTCTATATCATAGCAGCGGCTCGCTCAGTCCCATTGCCTCATTCTTATCAAACTGCTGTATTAGAATTATTCATTATCACGGCTCTACTTGCGGGCGTACGACCAAATCGGGCACGCTGCGCGCAGCGGGCGTTTTTTCGCAAGCGACTAAGGATCGCAAACTTTTCTCGCCCCATTGCTCTCGCGATTTTTTTTTGGAAAAAAAATCGCCATTGTGTGCCAGAATTTCGCAAAACACGCCAAATGCGCAAAACGCGCAAAACGCGCAAAAAACGCCAAACACGCCATGATCTGCACTACAACTACTACTACTACTGCTGCTGCTGCTACTACTACTACTGCTACTACTACTACTCCTCCTCCTCCTCCCACTACTACTACCACTACTACTACTTCTTGTTCTTGTTCATTCTTGTTCTTGTTCTTGTTCTTGATAATGTTGCTGTTGTTCTTGTTGTTCTTGTCGTTAGTGTTGTTCTGTTGGTGTTGTTCTGTTGGTGTTGTTCAGTTGGTGTTATTATTGGTGTTGTTGCTGTTGCTCTTGCAATTGCAATCTCTTGTCTCTCCTCTTTGGTGAAGCTACGAGTACACTTTATTTTTACAGCAGAGGACATTAACAAGACATTCTTCCACTGGAAAAAAGTTTATGTGTTATGTATCCACATGTGTATATATATATATATATGTATATACATTTATATTTATGTATGTCCATCCCTATTGAGATATGTATACTGTGATATGTATATATATATAAATATATATATATATACTCATATTATGTATATTTGCTATTCTGTATAAAGCTATATCCATGAATACACATATATATATATTTATATGATCCTATTTTCATGCCGACTCATGTGCTCACGAATATCTTCATATTCAGATAGACAACTACGAACACATCGTATATACATATTTACATATGTATACATAATATATATTTATTAAATTATATATATATATTGATTTAAGATCAGCAAACCAAAACAATTCTTGCCTTTCTGTTTCTACTTGTTTCATTCCCACTCTTTGTTCCTTTTTTCCCTTTTCCCTTTTCCCTTTTTCCTTCCTCCGTTCCTCCCTCCCTCCCTCCCTCCTTCCTTCCTTCCTTTCCTTTGTTCCTTCCTTCCTTCTTTTCTTCCTTCCTTCCTTCCTTCCTTGCTTCCCTTCCTTCCTTCCTTCCCTTCCCTTCCCTTCCCTTCCCTTCCCTTCCCTTCCCTTCCCTTCCCTCCCTTCCTTTCCTTCCTTCCTTCCTTCCTCCCCTTCCTCCCCTTCCCTTCCTTTCCTTTCCTTTTCCTTCCCTTCCCTCCTACTAGTTGCTATTGTTTTTAGACCATTTTTTGTTGATCCGGATTTTTTTTTGATCCGGATGTTTTTTCTTGATCCGGAAAAATTTTTCTTTAACCCCTCCCCCACCAGCCAGACCGGGAGACCAATGAAGGGAGACAAGTGAACACAGACAAGGGGAGAGCCAGACAACACCAGCCAGACACCACCAGCCAGACTGGGAGACGAATGAATTTATAGATGGGGAGACAAGTGAAGACAGACATCCGGAGAGCCCACACCACCAGCCAGACTGGGAAACGAATGAATTGCTGCTAGGTGGGGAAACAAACAAATTGGAGACATCCAGAGAGCCGGACGACCACCAGCCAGATTGGGAGACGAATGAATCGCTACCGCTACATGGAGAGACAAATGAATTCGAGACATCCGGAGAGCCGGACACCACCAGCCAGACTGGGAGACGAATGAATTGCTACATGGGGAGACGAATGAATTGGAGACATCCGGAGAGCCGG